AATGTGTGTGTAATGTGTGAGCATCTATGTGTGTGTAATGTGTGTGTAATGTGTGAGCATCTATATGTGTGTAATGTATGTGTATAATGTGTGAGCATCTATATGGGCAATGTGCTACTTGCACCGCTGAGGTTGTAAACTCCTCAGGGGCTGCTCCCTTTACTGAAATGTCTTCATCCACGTAAAATAAGGGGAAAATCACAAAATTTCTAGGAAACTCACAGAATGTACAAGCAAAAAGGAATTCCATTATTGATTACTATTCTTCAACATTTTTCCTAAAGTAAAGGAAGAGTAGGTGTTAAACGGCATCTCCTATTCAGAGACATCAACTATTTCCGGGGCAGTGGCCTGAGACCACACGGCAATGTTGCCATTGTGCTGCTGCATCCAGACGGGATGACGTATTGTGATGTTTGTGCCCAATGCTGCGATACCAGGCTGCCCCGTTTCCCAACTATTCTGTGAGTCTGGTTCTCCTTAATGAGATGATATAACAGCTCTTACAAAGTCATTAACTGTTTGGTTTAGCAAAAACAAAACCCTAAAGGTATAATTTCAAACATGTACTAACTTATTTTGCCTTTTTATGTAAAATGTATTGTGAAACAGTATAAACTAGAGAATTTGTGATTTTTCCCTTATTGTACACAGTTCATGTACCATGGAATCCACCGCAGAGATCCATTAAGCCTTTGCACAATGTACATAAGCTCTTGTTTCTACACTTCAAGAACACTTCAGATCTCACTGCATTTCTATTGCTAAGCATCTCTCTATATTTTTTCTTAATGAGAGATAAATAAAGAATAGTGCAGCTACTCTGAACTAAAGTAAAGCAAAATAAATTTAGTGTTTATGTGACTGGGTAAAAGAAAATTTGTGTATAATAGAAAATGACAAAAGGGAGTGAGGGTAATAGAAGCTGACCTATCACCTTGTTTAGAATTCCTATTAGATACCATGATTTTTAATACCACTTCTACTCAGTTGAGTATAGTTCAATGCCGTGGAGAAAATATTCTGTTAGATTAATTCCAGAAACAGGACTAACTGCTTTCTTTACTGCAGACACACGAAAAACTACTTTCTGAAAGAAGCCTTTTTGTATTCTTGATTTTCAAAAACAAACATTTTACTGAATTTGAACACTAGGGGGCATGTTTGTTTCTTGAAATAAAGGTCTTGTTTATGATTCCCCAAAAAAGGCTGAGTAGTGAAACATCTGATTCACATTTTTCTGTGTGCTGCATGTTGGCGCTGCAAGGTTTCTGACTTTGGGTTGGATATTTTGTTTCTATAAATATTAGTTAAATGAAGTAGCATGTGTGAAGGGACTAGATAGTGGCCGGCACATAAAAAGCACTCAGGAGATGTTCGCTCCCTCCTCAGGCCTCCTTCTGTGGTTAAACTTCAAGATATGACCAACAAACCCTCAAAGGGCAGACTACTCAAAAGTATGTGCTTTTCAGAGTTACATACATTTAGAAAAAACCACTAGAATGTACATGTTCATTCATTCAAAGATGTTTTCTTTTTAAATTCGTTAAACAGTTCTATTTTTCCTTGATTATAGGAAAGCTCACTTACGGATACCTAGCCTATTTACTCCTTTAAAGCCTTACATTCGTCAGCAGGGAATGTCTTTAGTCTTCCTTTCTCTCTGTTCTTCATTTCTCCATCTTTTAAAAAGGTCTCAACAAAATGCGGGCTGATGTGATGCAGGAAGCCATGGATAACAATTACATCATTCATAGCTGAGCAGAGCCCTCATCGGGCAGACAAAAGAGTGAAGCAGCCAGTGTGGACCTGCTTCCAAGGCTGCACCGTCTCTAGGTGGTGGTAGAGTTCCTCAATCACCATCCAGTTATTTTTCCTTTGGGGACTTTTCGGGTGGGGACAGGACAGAGGGAGGGAAGAGATAGGGAGGGAGCTTTTGTTTTCCGCTAACTCTGTACAGGAGTCTGGCCCTTTACCTTCTTCCTGGCTTCCGGGAGATCGCGGCTGGGCCAGGAGTCAGGGATGGGAGGAGCCCTGCTCCAGCTCCTCGGGCGTTCACAAAAGGATCCGCAGTTCTGCATGTGCACAGTCCAGTTAGGCTTAAAGGGTGAGGCTTGTGTTTCTCCTGGGCAAAGGAGTGTTTCAGGTCCTGTTGCATCTGATTCTTTGATCCCCCACAAAAAAGCTTTCTGATGCCGATTCGAAAGACGCAGCCCTCCGCTGACGGATAAACAAGGCAGCAGTCCCCAGTGACAAATCTGGGAAAGGAGAGGGGAGAGGTCCTCTTGTCCCTGTCCCTAAAACTAAAGTCACGTGGGACCTTTTTAAAAAAGTTTTCTTCTCCAATCCTAGATTAATAATTTCCTCTATACTTTTTAAAAAGCCCGGTTTATATCTATTATAGCACCTACTAATCTGACATATGGTTTAATTGGTTTTGTAACCACGTTCTTCCCATCAGATTGCATTCGTTGAGGTCAGGGATGTGTTATATTTATCTCAGAATACTTTGCCCTTAACCAAGCACGTTGCATATAAGAGGCTCAAGAAATGTTGAATTGAACTGAATTATTATACACCACACTGAATGATACCATTTTATTGCTGAATTAGCAGAAAAGGAAATAAATATTTCTAATTAGATAGAGTGAACATTAACTAATTAAAATGAACTAATTTGTCCATAGTCTTGAAGCAAACTAAATTATCTAAAAAAGAATTCCTATAATCCTAAGCATTATGACAAACTACGTGGTTTCTCATGTTTTTCCTATTTCATCATGACTGATGGGCTCATCTTTTGATTTTTTTCATATGAATTTTTATGTATACCTTCTTTTTCCTCACGAATCATATATATACTACAAATAAAACAAAGATCAATATAACTTTATTTCTAGTTTTAACAGAGGTAATGTCTAAAAACAGGGGAAGTCTTATCCCATGCAGAGGCGTGAGGCTGATGCTTGTTAGAAGTGAAAGAATCCACAGAACATGCAATCTTAGGTTTGAAGCAGCCATTCCATGCAAAAGCAGATATGTTACTAGCCATGCTTCAAATTCTTATGGTATCATCTCTGGTAAAGGTTGAGTTAGGCAAAATGAGGGAAGTTTTCTCCTCTGGTTTTATTATTTTTTTAAGATTTTATTTATTTATTGGACAGAGAGAGACACAGCGAGAGAGGGAACACAAGCAGGGGGAGTGGGAGAGGAAGAGGGAGAAGCAGGCTTCCTGCTGAGCAGGGAGCCCGATGCAGGGAGCCCAATGCAGGGAGCCCAACGTGGGGCTCGATCCCAGGACCCTGGGATCATGACCTGAGCTGAAGGCAGACACTTAAAGACTGAGCCACCCAGGCGCCCCCACCTCTGATTTTAATGATAGCAATCCGTATGTGGGAGCACTGATCCAATGAAGATGAAATAAGTTTGGATTTTGAAATCCTTTGTTATATTTGAATTCAGTAATTCTTAGCAGAGCATGTTCATGAACATCACTAACAAAGTTTTTTCATTTTCAGGTATGATCAGTCCCACTGCTAGAAATTCTGATTCATTAGGTCTAGGGAGAGTTCTGGGCAATTGTATTTAAAAAAAAGTCTACAGGTGTTTCTAATGTAAAATATTAGGTTAAAAAAATCACTGTATTATGTATTAACTCCTTGAGAAAAGATACCATATTGTCTTTTTGGTCTCTCCAGTGTGTCACCTATTGCTTTGGCCTGTGGTTAAGTGCTCAGTAATTGTTAAATAAGCGAATGAATTTTATTGCTTCTCTTTTTACTTCTGTCTACTTTTGTGGAAATATGGAGAGATAATGCCTTTGCTTAACACCATAATCATACTCAAAAACTGACTCTGCTATCCAGCCCAGGTTAAAAGTAAATAACAGGTTAATAGACCAGCCTTCATTCCAGTAAGGTCTAGTGCATGAAGTACAGACATTTTATGGAGAAGATTCTGAGTCTTAAGGATAGTGCTGAGAACAGACCTGGTTTTGCCATGAGTCAACACATTTTAGTAATGTGAAAACTTGTAAAAACTATCAAATATGCAACCTGTTTTCAGTATGTTCCTTTATAGTGGATCTTCTCTATGAGAAAATTAGTATTACAATTTTTGTTTTTGTAACTATGTACATAGAATAGGAGCAAAAAAGAAAAAGTTAATTTTTAAAAAAATTTCCAAAGAAATTCCACTTAATTTTCTAACTTTTAGAAGATCAACGTATTGAGCTCTAGATAAACAGTCGTAATAACTGCTTTATGAATATATTCTAATAGAAAAGAAATAAATTTTGGATATAACAATGTAGGCAAGGGAATACTTACACTCTCACTCTGAAAAGGATTTAAGAAATTTCCCCCCATTTCGCCATCATCCCTTGGAGTGCCCGGTTGATTACTCAGGCTCATATTATTGGGAGAATTCTGTAAACAAGATTTAAAAAACAAGGCATTGTTGAAGATTTTAATTTCCCTCTTGCATTGTACTGTTTCAAAAATGGAATCTATAGCAGCATCTCTAAGGACAAAGCAGACTTATAATTCTAATCTTAGACTTCTACTGTGTATTCTAGTTCATTCTTTACACCTTGACAAGTACTAATGCTTTCCCAAATGGAAATTAAAAAACAAACAAAAAACCCCAAATAACCAAGCACAACTGTTTTCTTAGTCTCAGAATCAATATTTATTCAATTTCCCACCCTCAGCTTACAGAGTTCCTAGAACTGCACAGAGTTTAAAAAACATTCCCAGCAGGGGCATGATGAAGAGAGCCTACCCACTGATCAGGCATGATGAGACAATGACCTGCCTTGGTAGTTTTACTAATCAAACTTCAAAAGGTCACTGTTTCAAAACATTTCCCCTTAATGCGACATGTTGTTTACATAGTAACACTATTTCAACTATTTTTTTAATATGAACCATAGGAAAAAAGGAAGATGGTTAACAACTATAGTTAAGAACAGGAGAACTACCTTCGGACTTGAGAATTCAATATGCACTTGTAGAAGAAGAGAAGGCTCAAAGCAAATTGCTTTAGAATCTTTTCCTATCATTAGTTTAAGGGTTGATTTACTTGGCAACTTTAAGATAAAATGGCTGATATTAGCAACCTAATCAAACACTAAGTTAGCTGCATATTGGGCTTCATATTCTACTTAAATTTGCTAGTCTTGTTATTACGGTAAAATTTTAGCTGTGGGAGGTCATCTGCTACTCCCCATCAACAGGAAATACAGAATGGCATTGCCATACAAAGCATGTTCACACGATATTGTGACTGAGGGACTTTTTCCAGGTCTAATTTATTGACTTGTAAAAATAAACCTCAAGGTTAAAAATTTTTATTTGTTATTTCAAGTGGAAGAAAGATTTTAGGTTTTTTTCTGAGCCATTTCTATTTTATATTCTCTTTTTGAATAAGTTCTAGATTTTTAAAAGAAAAATGCTCTGAAGATTTTGACTTAACTAAAACAAAGTTATGTCATAAAAATTAAAGTTTCATGAATGAGTTATTCCCAGAAGAATATGTGCTGTTTTAGAATATGGTGAAACTGTAAAGCAGAGACAGGTGGAAATACAGCTTATATCTTGTCCTGCTGTGCACCCCATAGGGAAGATCTGAGAACAAGGATCCTCTGAAGTCCACAGGAGCTCGATTTGCCAATGAACCACTTGGGCAGGAGAACCACAGTTAATAACATAAGGAGGATTCTTTTTTTGGATAAATTTTTCTCTGAAAATGTTAGTTTCCCAAGCACACAGAAAAGGAACTGTACTTTCAAATGAACATGGATAACTTCATTTCCTTAAAAAAATTTTTAAGTAAAATTTAACTAAGCATATTATTTTATAGCTCCTTAATTATTAAAGTTATTAATTAAATAATCAACTGTGCTTTGGAAACAGGAATGCTAATGCTGATTTAGTTCAAAAGGAAAACTAAATTCATAAAAATGTGGTAATATTTAGCCAAAATCTTTTTGGTGAAGTGTTTGTCATTTTACACATAATGAAGAAACTATTATCTATAATATCTATTTATAGATATACCTAATATCTGAGGGTATTTAAGGATACACTTGGAAGCTTCCTCATTTCTGTATAACAAACGTGCCCTGAGATGGGCAGCACATCTGTGATGGATTTGGGGTGCTTGTGGTCTCTGCTTGCACTGTTCCATGAATCATTTCTTAATTTACAATTTTGAAAGTGTAGCTAACTTCAAATCTAATTTCTGACTCAAAATGTGGATTTCAAAATACTCAAAATTTGAAAGTAACACTGCATTATTATTTAAATACTTCTAAAACAGCTCTTTTATTATTTCTGTTTTCCATGCAATCTGTTCACGGCGTGGTGGCTCAGCAGTACAGACTTCTTTGGGGGTGAGAGGAAGATATATAAGAACATGGATAGGAAGATAAAAGGACACATTCAACATATAAAACAGGTAGTGTCAGGTCTCTGAATTTTATTCTTATCCAGCTCAGTGAGCATATTTGAAAATCTTCAAATGGTAGGACAAACTTGTTTTTTTTGTTTTTTTTTTTTTACCTGCAGTAATCTCTGCAAAATGTGAAAGCAGAAGTTTCTCAATGGGGAGTCTTTTGGAAATTGTGCTGTCCATGATCGATGAGTGACCTGATGAAGATACAGGCTAAAGATATACTTAGTACTGGTGTCTAAGGAACAGCTAAGACAGTGGTTCCAAACACCAGCCCAGAACAGGTTATGAGCGTGGGTGGCAATGAACCGTGTGTATGTTACATTTGGCTGTAGCTATGTTTGTGTGTGGAGTTTCTAGCAGATTTCATCATCAAGGCAAGAATAAAGGGCTTAGATCAAGGCTACACTAAAAGGGCTTAGATCAGTCAAAAAGGTGCTCCAATAGCTTGAGCACACAATTAGGGAATAGGGAGTACAAAAGAATCCAAGTAAAGATCACTTTTAGCTACATTAGGCATTTTGGTTACATTTCTTACTTCAGTTAATGTGTACTGTATTTCCTACTTATACTCTTAAGAATTTAGCTTATGAAAGTATAGTTAGTGTTATACCAGTCCCATCTTCAAAGGATTTTCTTATGTTAATTACCCTTTCTTCAAACTGGAATGCTTTTCCCTTAAGCTATGGCCGCATACATGAATGTTACATATAAGCATATCTGTGTGTGCATATGCATGTGCGTGCACACACACTCACACTCATACACACACACACACACAGAGTTTCCTCTGGCTAACACATTTAATTCTCTTAGACCCTCTGTTCTCTGATTTTATCTTGCAAGTATTTTTCCATATCATCTTTTAATTAAATTATTGTTCCTTCTTCCACCCACCCTCAGAAATTATTCCAAACTTTTTCAAACTGCTATTAAAAAAACACACATTTGCAGAAATTTTTACTCTGCCCATAATTGGAATAAAACAATATTGACATTATTTGAAGCCCTCTTGAGGTGGATTTTGAATTGATTTCTCAGAGGCTACCAATAACAAGTTTTACAGAGTGTTATTTTGACTCTGCCAGTGCCCAAAAAAACAAAATGCCAGTCATGTTTCTCCCAGAGGATACGAGTAAGCTAGAACCCAGGCCACACTGAGAACGGTCGATTAGCTGCACTGTGATGGGTGTGGGATCTTTAATTGGAACTAAGGTACTTGAGTCAGAAAGCTTCAGGTTGAAAAGACTTCGATAATTTATTAAGCATGAATGATCAGATCTGGCCTTCTTTGATACGGTTTTTTTCAAACTCAAAAATATAAATGTTAAGTATGTTAATGTGAACTGCAGAATTTATTTAGATGATTTCCTTTAAGAAAATAAACCATATGCTCTTCTCCACCCCCAACTCCTAAAACAACTCCAAGGGAAAATATTTTTGTTCCATTGATTAAATGGGTGGCTTCTCAGTTGCAAAAGGAAGGAAAAGAATTTCACATTTGGACTTCTAAATTACAGATGAATTCTGCATTTTGAGAAAGATACATATGAGTTTTACTAGATAATCCTCAACTGAGCAAGAAATAACTTTAAAACTCTTCATTTGGAGTTTCAAGCTCATTTTGCTACTGAAACAAGTTCTATCAAAATGCAGGTGACAGTGTGAGTTCCTAGCCTTGCCCACAAAAGACAGTCTAACTAATGAGGAGGAAGATATTTAGCATCTGTATAGTGTTTCTGAGCTCCTAGCATATGCTCATGCTTCACTCTCAAGGTTTTGTGAAGAAGGCAGGGAATGAACTACAAGCTCTCTTTTACAGCTAAGGAAACTAAGCCTAAGAGAAATTAAGTAATATATTGCTCCAATTTGTAGGTAGTAGAACCAGGCTTTCTGATTCTCAATTCAGTACTCTTTATTACCTTACATATAAAAAGAATAAGATAGAGTATATTTACAATAAAAAGAGTAGAAAAAGAATAGAAGGAGTACTAGTAAACAACATTAAAAATGGAGCAAGAAAAAGAAGAAAAAAATTTTAAAAAATTAAAAAAATAGAGTAAGACATTTTAAAAAAATGCAATACTGGCACTTAATAAAATACAGGTTTAATTGGAGAACTAGCTGGAGACCTAAGAGGGATTTTGAACAAAACCGTTAAGCAGTAAATGGCCACAACTATCTTATGATTCACAAATAAGAATGACTAGAAAAAGAACAGGATGAAAAGGAATGAAGCCAGGAAACAAGAGAAAAGGGAGGAGAGTTTCTTAGGATAGCTGGTCTTGTGTTGGAAAAGGAAGAAGGTGGGGAAAATGGAGTTAGTGATAATGTGGACAGTATGGAGTAAAAATCTGAAATAATTAGGCTGTGAGTGGAATGAGGGAGGGAGAGAAGTAACTGCAGACGGGGAGAGGGTATACATGCTGCTGCTGACTGGAGACAAAATGACCACAGTGTAGTGGAGAAGCAAGACACACCAGTGGTACCCTCAGCCAGGCAGCTTGGTTGGAGCCCAGGACCAAGGAACCTGGAGAGGGGGCAGTGCAGAAATGAGCTGCGTAGGACCTCATCTGAAGGCAGATACAACTAGTCATTTCTAGTACATTGTTAAATTACATGTTTCAGGGGAAAATTCTTATGTTAATTGAAACATATTTGGACTTGGCTTTGTAAAAGATTTCCTTCTTGTCTTTGGTCTCCTCAGTTATACTGGGCTTCTTGAGGGCAGAGATCATACCATGTTTATCCTTGGCTTTTCAGAGCCTGGCATAATGCCTTGGTGCATTAATGTTTACTGAGTGAAGGAACTCCTGCCTAACCACTTAGGACAGAAATTATGTTTGTATTTAAAGAAGTCTTTTATATCTCCCCATGGTGCACAAGTTAACACCCAGGACACAAAAGTACACATTGGGTAGTCAATTAATGCTTAAATAATAAGCAATACATCACCAGGCAAGAGAATGTTATCAGCAGTGGGCACAGTGTAATGGAAAAACTTGTCTCTGGAAATAGGAATGGGAAAATGAGCACAGAAGGAATAACAATAGATCTGATATGAGGACAGATAAGAAGATCGTATTTAATTTGTCATTATAAATCTATTTAAAAATTTTAAAGTGCTTTATGAATAAATTACAAAGAACCTTCCCATAGGTGGGAGGGGATGGGCTAAATGAGTGATGGGTATTAAGGAGGGCACTTGTGATGAGCCATGGGTGTTATATGTAAGTAATGAATCACTAAATTCTATTCCTGAAACTAATATTACACTATATGTTAACTAGCTGGAATTTAAATAAAAACTTGAAAAAAAACCCAAAGTATTTTCCCATATATAATTTTGTTTACATCTGTCTGATGTACAAAGTTATGGGTCATTAGTGGAAATTTTAGAAAGATGATGTTAAGCAATCTGGATGATCCCATCTTCATGTAATAATCATCCTTAGATACTAGAATATGCTCCTCAAATACAAAATTAGAAATTTTATTGGTGACCACAAAGCACAATTCACCTAATATCAATTCTTAGATACCTAAGATAACATATAAAATCATGGTCATCTGACTTGTAAAGGTGCTTCCCAGAGAGATGGCTCTAATGGAATTATACAATGAATCTTTTTATCAAAACAGGCCTTTTGCAGGTTTTACCTATTTTCACAGCTAGTGCTCATTATAAATATTTATCTATTTTAAGAAAAGAAAAAGACCTTCCTGATTTGTCCACTGTAGCACTTGTGAGGCCAAGCAGCCAGGCAATGTAGATATGTCAGAATGCCAGTTCAACTCCCTCTCTCTCAGCTTGAAGTCTTAATTTAAAAGGTTTTGTAGCTCAATCAATCTTACTCTATTTTCCTTGGCACCAGGAATTTTACATTATTATACATGAATATAATTAGAAGTAGGATTAAAAATGAAGTTACCCTTTAATGAATTTCAATATTTATTGATATAAAGCAGATTTCTAAGAGAGTCATTCTAATGGTAGTTAATAATTAGTTCTTATCAGCCATTCTAAATATATTTTTGACTCACAGAGAACTATTTTAAATTCATCATGACCTAAACAGTAGTTAGGTATTCTGAAAAAAATATAAGGCATCTTAGCAAAGTATTAATTTTAAAAATACTCAAACTATCGAAGGAGGAAAAACACAGACACATGCTATTGGAAGGCTCTCTTTCCTATTTGTATTAATATAATTTTCTTCTAATTACTTTCCTTTCCTATTTTGGGGAACTAGAATAATGATTGAGGACATCAGCATTTCCTAATAAAGGTTTGAAAGACAAATGAAATGTATAAATGCAAGCCCTTATAACATATAACAACTTTTTCAAATATACCTCTTCTCATTTTGCTCTAGACTTCTTTACATTTTCAAAAGATTATCTACACTATGTCAATCTGCTTTATAAATAAGTGACATCATAAAGTAATTAAATTATTATGTAGGTATCAATTGATCATATATATAGTATGTCCTGTAAATGAATCTTACCATGTTAAAAAACTCATTTTACACTTTCCTATTATATGCATTGATATTTTTAACTTCCACTTAATTATGTCTGGACCTCTACTTTCAAATGCTTGTTCAAGAACAAAATTCATAAGGTTATTCTAATAATTTTAATAAGAGCCCCATGAATAAAAAACAACACAGAGAATATATAATACTCACCTTGGAAATACTGTCCATATCTCCTGAGCCTGAAACAAAACAGGAAAAGAAAATCTTTATTAGATAATGATTTCATATATAAATGAAGTATTCCTCTAATATAAATAAATACAGTACACTCTTTGTATTTTCTAGTATATAGCTCCTGAATTTTTTAATCTTAAAAAATTTAATCTTAAAAAATTCCTTTTCTCTTATACTGTATGGTAAATAAGTATCATCTGATGGCAAATGCAAGGATGAGTTGTACCTCTAGCTCCCAATCATCATTTTTTGTTTATTTTTGTAATGGCAGAATGAAGAAAACTATTGTTATCCTAAATTCCTGAAAATGAAATATTAGAGAGATCACTTATAAATCCTATTCAATTCAGATTTTTAAAATGTATGTCCACATGTGTATGTATATAGAGAGCAAGAGAGAGAGAGAAATATATTTTCTGAAATGATATGTCTAAATCTGATAAAGTATAAAATGGACATCTGCAACAATATCTTAAAGTATTTTGAGCAAAATTTTACTATAATAACCAAAGCAAAGGATTTATAATAATATTAAAAATTTGACAGCAATCAATATTCATGGCAATTCCATCAAAAGTAAGAAAGTCTTCAAAACATACTGTAATTTTGTTGATTCACAAATTACAGTATTATTCAAAATTATTCAAAATAATACTATAATTTTATGCTGATTCTTGGGAGAAATGAACAATCAATACTGACTTCTTACTTAAGAAATGGAATCAGACATTAGATAACAAGGAACAATGATCAGACCTTTGCCACAATATTAGCTTTATTTTTAACTATTTTAACAATTAATTTTCTTGGTATAAAAATATTACATACTATTTTAATAGAAAAATACTCAGTTACAATCACAAATAAAGTTAGTGCTTACAGATAAGACATAATTATTAAATATTCAATGTATATATGTAATTACATATGTATAATATGTACAATAATATTTATTATAAAGTAATAAGCCACTGCCAAGCCTATGTGAAACTCTTCTGTAAATTCTATTCTAGGGAATAATATAACTTGAAATCTTCTAACTATGACCAAATGTCATCTTTTTTGAAAATTTTACAAACTGAAAGATTAGAAAGTGAGTTATATTGCAATAAATGAAAAAATAAAGTTCTAGAATAGTGCTGCCCAGAAGAGCTTTGTGTGATGTTGATGTTTCTCTGTGCTGTCCATTAGGGTAGCCAGTAGCTACGTGTGGCCATTTACGTTTGATATGTGGCAGCGCAACTGAGAAAGTAAACTTTACATTTTATTTAATTTTAACTTAAAATTAGTCACACATGCCATGTGGCTACCATAATTGGAGAGTGCAAATTAAGACTTTGAAATCTAGGCAAAATATGTATGTATGTAAAATAAATGTGGACCTTAAATGCTCAAAAGTCTATCAATGTGTTGCAAATAATTTCTTGATTATTGAAGTTACATAGCTTTTCACAGTATCAGAGGATGGCATCTGGGTGGAGTCATGAAATCTGTATATAACCTAAGTTACTCGCAGGCATAGTTACTCCAACCTAAGTAAAAGGTGGTCCTTTTTCAAAAGAAAAAAATTATCATAAGCCTCTATCCCCATTGTCAATTTTTAGCTTATGATAATATTACTTAAATATATGTAAACATAAAATAAATGTGGTTGTTTTTTGGTTTTGGTTTGGTTTTGCATTCGGCCTGCCCATATACACAGTGTACTGTGTGACCTAGTCAGTTGTGTGCCACTCATCTCTATTTTTTTTTTAAAGATTTTATTTATTTATTTGACAGAGAGAGACACAGCAAGAGAGGGAACACAAGCAGGGGGAGTGGGAGAGGGGAAGCAGGCTTCCCCCTGAGCAGGGAGCCCAATGCGGGGCTCAATCCCAGGACCCTGGGATCATGACCTGAGCCGAAGGCAGCTGCTTTAACGACTGAGCCACCCAGGCGCCCCTCTATTTCTCACTATTGTGAAACGTTTTGTTCGCATTGAAGATATTTGGCTTCATTTGGCAAGAAGGCATAATTTATGAAGTATGTGTCCAACCATTAGTCACAGTACTAGAAATCAGCTTTATCACGAATGCAGAGTATGTGCCACTGTTCTCTCTTAAGAGAATCCTTCAGATTATTCAGAATATGATAACTAATTTTATTTTTATTTATTTTTTATTTTTTTATAAAGATTTTATTTATTTATTTGACAGAGAGAGAGACAGCGAGAGCAGGAACACAAGCAGGGGGAGTGGGAGAGGGAGAAGCAGGTTTCCCGGTGAGCAGGGAGCCCGATGTGGGGCTTGATCCCACAACCCGGGATCATGACCTGAGCCGAAGGCTGATGCTTAACGACTGAGCCACCCAGGCGCCCCACTGATTTTATTTTTAAAAGAGACAAATATTAAAATACAAAGTTAAGAAATTCTTGCAGAGAATATAAGTTCCTCTGAGACTGTCTGTACACCTTCAGAGACAAACCAGTTGGGAAGATACTGTAGTCCTCCAGGTGAGGGATGCATGATTGTGTGCCCAGAGCAGCAGTATCTCCTTTTATCATAAAACACCCAGATTTTGATGGGTTAAAGTAAGCACTTGTGAATAAGAGCTAGGTGAGAACAATTCTACACTTTTGATTTTCAAATGATCTCCAGTCATCATAACCGATATACTGTCAAGTATCAGTCTGAGGTGGAAGTTGAAGCATTTTAAAATAAATTCTTGTGTATGAAAAGCACTATGCAAACTGTAATATCCACTATGTAGAATTAAGGTTTTGTTTTGATTTCTAAACATCAAACTTAATATCCTTACCTAAAGAGCCATTCATGTGATGTGACTCCATTCCTCCTAATCCACCCATGGGACCATCTGACCCGGGGCCCATTGGAAACTATTTAAAAAATGAAGAAAATTACTATGATCACATTGAAAACAACTATTTATCTCAATGTTACATTATCTGTCTTTAACATAAGAATATACTTCCACAATCTATTTTCATTTTCAAGTAATGGAGGTTTTTTTCAGCCGTGTGGATTCTCAAACTAGACCGCCCTACTTCCTTCATACCATCTTCTATAGATTCTGGGAACTTGAGGCTAATCCTCATTCATATCCAAATTTTTCTTCAGATATCTAGAAAGTACATACATTCCAGTGCAAATGAGAAGATAAGCATTCTTTCCTATGCTCTTGGCAGATTTTGCTATTATAAACTAGAGATGATTCTTAAGAAGCTGCTAAAAGTATTGGCTTGTTAATAAGAATAATTCAACATTCTTATGCCAACATTAACATTTTTCTTAGCAGACAATCTATCTTTGTTCAAATGGACATAATAAATAATTTCATCTTGCAGGTTAAGTACATTTGGCTCCTTGGGGACAGCTCAATATAGTTAATTCTTGGCAGTCTCAACCATGTCAGTTCAATGACAATTGGACCTTCTATAACAGTTATACTTAACATTTTTTTTTAAAGTAGTGGGATTATTTTATTTTCAGTTGGAAGCCCAGTACAAAAGAGATGTGAGCTGATATACTGTGGTAGAGCAGGTGGAGAGGCCACGGCCTGTCCACTCAGTCTTTTCCTTATCTCCCTGGAATACTCCTGAGGAAATCTAAACCCCTTTGAAGACAAGTTATCTATAATTATCTTGTGTTTACAGTTAAAATAGCCTATTAAAAAACACTTGCTCTTAAAATTTCCCATGCCAAAATCATTTCTTTCATGTCGTATGGTACAGAATACTGAATGTGGTGTGTATGTATGTGCATATTTATGTGTGTAGATGAGGCGGTGCTGTTTATTAGTCATACAGGCTTTTGGGAGAAAAACAATTGCCCTCAGCAGACAACATGTAATTGTATATAATCTATAATCTATATCATCTATCTATCTATCTATCATCTATCTATCTATCTATTTCTATTTGTTTGGAAATAAGATGGCTTTCCATCACTGGGATCATACAAACCACATGCCTGTACATTTTCCCAGGATAATGCCTAAAATTTTGTTGCCTTAAAGCATATAGATTGATTTTCAATAAACAACCTAGAATATATGTGTGTGTGTGTGTGTGTGTGTGTGTGTGTGTATTTGTATGTACGTATATACCTTAAGCGATAGCTTAAAGAAATTAACTTTGAACTTAACTGTTTTATTCAGCTTTTCCCAAAAGCACTGTTTAGATCTGGGCTGAGAAACCTATGTTGGTAAGGCCAAGACCCTCTGAACTTACTTGGTACGGTCCTTTTATCTGGCCTCTACAGTGTTTTCAAAGACACGAAGACTATTGGTCTGTATGCTTGAAGCATAAAACTGCAGGCCTAGCCCTCAGCAGGCATTTGCTTTTACTACCTCTGGCAGAGATGAATGACATTTGAAAAAATGACACGTTCAGCTTCTACTTTTCTTGGATCTCTTATCTTTGTATCGAGTTAGAGGACCAGAATGGAACATACTTGGATGATATCAGCTTAGCTGCCCACAGAAATGTCTTCAGTACCATATGCTCTGGGTTTCCTCTCTCACTCCCTCCATTTCAAATATCAAGTTCTAAGATATGAAATTGCACTATGAAGAGCTTTTCTGTATTTTTGCTGAATTTCTAAAATGAACATTGTTCATTATCATATTCAATGTTCATTACGATCACTGTGGAAACACCTTTTAGACATTACTCATAGGAAATTGTTTCTTTTTTCCTGAAAACCAATTTATTTGATTATATAAAGAGAAGAGTGCTAACTGAAGCAGTACTGCTTAACAGAAATAATATGCAAGTCGCAAATGCAAACTTACATAAGTAAATTCAGATTTACTAGCAGCCATGTTTAAAAAGTAAAAAGAAACAGGTTAAGTTAATTTTAATATATATTTTATTTATCCTACTTATCAAAATGATCATTTCAACATGTAGTCCATATAAAAATTTTAATGAAATATTTTACATTATTTTTTCATACTAACTCCTCAAAGTCTAGCGTGTATTTTATATTTACAACACACTTTAATTGGGACTGTCCATATTTCAAGTATCATAATAGTGGATGGATTTGTTGTCTTCACTGCTAGGAAACTCAATTATAATAATTATTTCAATCCTGTTTTTTGGTATACTTATGGAAAATTCCTTTTATGTCTTCTGATTTTTATTTCATTTTCGTGACCTTATATTGATATATATGTGTATATACCGTTATAAGTATTTTTTGTTAATATGTAGGTCTTATAGATAAATATTTTTCTGTAAGCTTTTATGGAAAAATCACAACCATATGCTTTATTAAGAACACCCAAATTCTTTATGTAGACCTGCCTCATTTCCATATTTAAACTCCAGATTTCAAAAATCTAAAGAAAAACAAGGATATCCAACTTCCTAATTTATTTCAAGTTTATCAGGATAAAAGAAATAAACAACCACAATGAAAAAATTAGTGATGCTAAAAATTAGGTTAATATAAATGATTATATATTACCTGTCATTTTCAAATAGTATTATTCAGTATGTAAGATTTGAGATAAAACTATGCACCAACATTTTATAATTGATTAAGTTCAGTTTTACATTTAAGTTATATTGATATGAAATCTTTTGTTATATATTTTATGTATTATGTTTTTTTCAACCCAGAATATAGAAAGGATTTGATTTTTTGGGGGTATCTAATAAGTTCCTAGATAATAAAACAGAAAGCTTATATAGTATCTAGGAAATGGAATGCACTTAGAGTTTGAGCCTTCAGATACATTCCAAAATTTATTAAAAATTCATATTTACATTAGGCCTGTTAGGTCCAGGAGGTACTGCATTCATTAAAGTATACATGTTGTCTCCAGAGTTGGTTGAATCTGAAACAAAATATTACTTAATTAATATCTTTCTTTATAATTTACACCCAAGTCAACACAAAGTAATAATCAAAGATGATCTGCACACATATACATATTAATAGCTGCAGCAATTGAAATAGTTATTACTAATGTTCAGAAACAAATACTTGTAAGTCGTTTTCCACCTAAGAGATTATCATTCTATGGTTGTAAATGGGAATATTTTCATAATATATTAGGAGTAATCACTTGAATAATTCAGGTCAAAAGGAACATTACTTTAAAAATCTAAAAAATTACAGTAAAGTCTTTCTTTTTTTAAAAAAACATGGATATTTTGAGACTTCACTGTGGAATTTATATGTATAAATATAACAAAAAATCTCTTAAAATTCAGATTCAGTAGCTTTTCAGTTTTCATTATTTCCTTAGGCTTCTTATATACCAATTTAAAAAGTTTATTTATCTAATAATTATTAATAGCTGGTGGAATATCTTTGCTTAATTCTAAAAGAAAGAATATAGGACAAGACTATAAAATTGGAATGAAAATTTCTCTTGCTTGAAGTAAAAGCCAGCTTCTTCCAGTACAACTTTTGATGAAGTTTTTTTTCATTCATTTTATTCTTGATTCATTATAGTAAAAATAACTATAGTGTATATCCATATAAAAATATGTAACATTTTATAATATTTTTAAAAATTTACATTTCATATCTATTAGCTAATTCTAATTAAGTCTCTGAGTACATGTGTTTTTATAACATATTACCTGGAGTGAAAGGCCATATATTTTACATTTAGGAAATGTTTTTCTATTTTCCCACAATTATACAGTTTTCTTAAATATAATGTATTGGGCCTCTCTATTCTGAAAAAAAATGTGTTTCAAATATTTTGTACTGATTCAAGGTAGAAGATAAAAATAATTTGCTTTCTCATGGCAATAAACATAGAATAAGAATTGGGCAACTACTTTTCCTTTTATTTTGTAATTGCTTAGTAGACATTAAAAAGTTTATTATTTTAGTGTGTACCACTTAGAGAGTAGGTTTAATGTCATTTATCAGTTGTTTGTAAAGTGATCCACAAATCTAAATATTATTTTTCACATCTAGATTAATATATCATAGTGCTGAAAAAGCTGAAATGCCCACCTCAGATCTTTATTTGCTTATACTAAGTAAGTAAGTAAGTAAGTAAGGCCCCAATCTACTTTTGTGGCCTTCACTGTTTTTACATCCTTATGTACATTATACTCCTGTCAACCCAGGCTGCTGGTTCTTTCCCTCATATGATCAACCTTTTAAATCTCCGTATTTTTGTTCTACTTCCTCCAAGGATCTTCTGTCCAGTCTCCATCTACTAAAATTCCACTCATTACTCCAGGCCTACCTCTTACATGAAATTTTGTTTTCTGATACTTCCAAATTCATGAATGCACCCCCATCACTGAATTCCACTTTGCATTCTAGTTAATATTTTGTCTTATTCTTCCCTTCTGCTTCCAACAAGGTTATAATAAGTTCATTGAGAGAAGGAAAGATATCATGTCTTATATTGTGTGCCACAGACAACAAATATCTGCTAACTGAGATTTAACTAATGGAAAACACTTTATCCCATAAAAATGTATCTTTTAGAAAATCTTGGATTGCTTTAAACAGGAAATCTTCAAATGGTTTTTCATCTTTATTAGACTTACTAATTTTTTAAACTAATTTTAGTAATTTGGAAAAAATGTGCTATATACCTTAAATATGTAGAAAGAAAAATAAATTTATTATTCTTAATACCAATCAAAAACATAATTTCATCTAAAAAACTCAGAGGAATAAGGTTGGCATTTTCTAGAAAATATCTGACTTCTTTTTATATACAGAGAAACTTTATAATAAAGTATATCTTCTGGCCACCTATTTTTTGGGGGGAGGGTATTGGCTTCATTGCACAAGGCTAGGAAGACATACTGGTGGCAATTTCTGGCTTGAAAAGATAGAATGTAATGAGATTACTTGTCACCTGCAAAGTTTAGCAGTTTCTCCAAAAAATTTCCCTAGATTACAGTGGTGTTTATTAATCACATGCTACCTTCATAAATTAAACATTTAACTTCCCCCACACAAGAATGCAAATGTGGGCAATATGTTCAATTCACATAATTCTATCTTGAATGAATTCTGTTTCACCTCAGTGAAGATGCTCTGAGGAGAGAAACCCATGAAATATTTATGATATATTCCAAAGAGTTAGTGAAGCAAAGCAAAATTTTGTGTTAATTATCAAATTGACACTTTTTCAGAATGAAAAAGATTCAAAACTTAAAAATTACTATTTATTGGTATGATTAATATTTAATTTCAAACTTCCAAACATCTTAGATTTCAACAAACCAGCTAAGAACATATGAATTGAACAGTGCAACATAATTAAAAATTTTTCCTAATCATAAAAGTTTCCCATCTCTTTTGTTACCCAGATGTTAACATTGATAAAGTCCTAGCTATTTCTTTGTTTTCTACTTTCTACATTTCTGTGTTATACATATTTTAAAATAATAATTGGGATCATATTGTATTAAATCATGAACATTTATTCTCCATTAAATTCTTTGATTATAATTTTAATGGCTACATTATATTCCATAAAAAATTAATTTATTAACGTCACTAAAATTGGATTAGGTTTGAAGGTTGTATCTACTATTTCACTATTAATTATAACAAATGAGTACCCCCCCACATAAATCTTGGGTTGTATCACTAATCATTTCTCAGAGAAGGATTATAGAGTAAGTGGTATGAACTTTTTCATGGCTCTTGATACATGTTGCCAGAGCTGTTTCTAGGAGGGCTGAACCAATGTCAACTCCCACCATTAGAGTCCTCAAGAAACAACACATTTAATAGTCTATATTAAAGTCTCGAAAAGAAAGGATAAAGCTATTTAAAATCATCATATGAAATGATGATAGAAATATTGAGGTATTTTAGTTTACCAAGATTAAAAGAAAAAAAAACTTCCTCCACTACATAGTGAATCTATTAGCTAATAAATCCATATGGACGTGTAAATATATCTATACCCATCTTAGTAAATAATGGTGGGTCTGATTAAACCTAATGGATCCATGTATTTCAAATGTTACTTACTTATGCAGAATTTTTCTAAGTTTTGAGATTTGGATTTTTTTCACAGTCTCAAAGAATCTTTTTGTCAGATAAATTATTGGGCAATTCATATAGATTAACACCATTTTTATCCTGATTATATCTGTTACCCACACAACAAGAATTTTCTACATGCTTAAAGTAATTGGACAATAGTTATTTAAGAACCCTGTTTCTTCCTACTTGCTACCTCTAGTCTACTTCTGTTACCATCAATGAGATAATGAATACTACTAACATTCTGTCATCACAATTTTTATATTTTGTAATTTATTCTAATAATCAAATGCCCATGTGACTAGTGTGATTACAATACCTGCTGGACTAGGCATGATGGGTGTTCCTGGTGGCCCTCCACCTCCTGGAGGACCCTAAATAATTATACAAAATTTCAGTAAAAATAAGGCACTTCATTAAACAGTATAAGGAAAAACAGAAGAAGAGTTAGACTTATCTATAATAATCCAATTTGAAAATCACAAAGGAAATATATTTTCTCCATAATTTATTTTCTTTGAACGCACAGTCATTTCAATATTATGCAAAATATAATTTAGCTTAAATATGTTAAGACTGTTTTGACAAGTTTCCAAAAACAATGAGCCGGTAACACTGATTTATTATTCATGACTTAATCACATCAGGTATAATGAGGTTAAGGAGAAGCCATTTATTGGGGCCTTTACAAATCCATAAAACAGCATCATTCATGTATATTTGTGATTTAGTTTATTGTAATTCTCTTATGTTTCGTATCATGGTTTTTTATAGGAAGCTAAAAACTCAAAGATACTCATATGTTTAAAAAAATACACTGATGTATTTCTCCATTGGTATCAACTATAACACTTCTAGAGTATTGAACCTTCTGCTATCACGTCAGTTAGAAATGAGAGGCAATGCTGACTAATGCTGTGGGTTACTAATCAATCTGAAATGGAAATTAGGTGATTCTAAGGTTAATTCAGTTATTTCAGATAACCAAAATGGATAATTCAGGGAAAGGGTTTTAGAATTTTTCAGATGTACCATAATTAATCTGGGTAAATTACTAAGTGGATAAATTTGTACTTCATTCTGAATGTGCAGACAGAGCCCACTAATTATTTCAAATTTTATATATATATATTTGCTATTTAATAAGCAACTTAAATTTTGTTTCAGATAAAAGTCTATAATTTCATAAAACCATATATTAGGCTTATTCTCAAGGATTTAAGAAAAAAATAGGTTTTACCCACATGTTCTTACTTTCATTTTTGCTTCATAGGGAATGCGAAAAAAGTTAGACTTTCTTAAGTTTGTACAGCTTAAGAGGACACTGAGCACTAAGTTCACAGGTTCAAAACAGTGTGTGCTTTTTTTTTACTATGTTCATAAAACATTATTTCTACGGAGAGTAAAATGCTCATTCATCTTCTTAAGCCCTCCTCTTTTCCTACCCCAGTTAGCCACCACCTCTGAAATTTCTTTAGGAAAGATTTTCCTTTTTACCATTTTATCTTTGCTCTTCTGATAGGCATTTACTCCTAAATATTCTAACAATGTATCTTCCAGGGTGGCCTTGAGATGTAGCAAGGATTATAATGTAATGATGGTTAAAAGGTCATTTGTAAGTTCAAGAAGTCAGGTAAAATCTGCTAATTTGACTTTAGGTGTATGTGCATTAGTGGAAAATTTTAACATGTACTAAATAATACTAAATAATAATAAGAAAAATAAGTGTTTCTAATTTCTAAGCATAAAAAAACCCTCAAAAGCCCCTCCCCCCAAATTACTAGTCATTATTCTGATTCCCTTTGTGATCAGGAAAAAGTTTAATGTCTTCCTCAACTTTGTGTGTGGTGAGTGGGGTGAGGGAGGGGGTGTAGACTATTCTCCTGGAGAACTGCAAATTCAAGCTTATCCTTGTGTAACTGGGGATGGCTTTCTTCATGATTGGACAGAGTGTATTGTATTGGTTTACAGAAACATATGCTAAAGTAAAACACAGTACTCTGGGCAATTTTGGCCAGACTGATAACTGTTTCACTAATGAACATCAACATATGTAGTGAGGTTGGCAGACGAAAAACTCAATACGTATCAGATGTTCACTTCTTGGCCAATACACAGGGGCTCTTCTTAACATCTGGACAAGTATTTCATTGCCCAAATAAAACATAACATCAAATCTTATGAGCAAACAATCCCAAATGTACTTACTACATAATTCCCAGGAGATGCTGAAGAGTATGGTATCTGGAACATGAATAGGACAAAGAAATATATATTTTGATTCATGTGATAGTATGGAGACTTACCTAAAATGAATCTATTTTCTGACTTTTATCAAGTTTTACAATGTATCACAAAGGATGGTAAAGAAAAAAAAGAATAGAGGCATTTATGTCTGTCTGAGTGCTAGAAAAATGAATAAATGCAACATTATCTTGAATTTATAAAAAGAGTGGATTTAGGTCAAGAGGAATTTAGACAGAATTACAGCCTCAAGTTATACTCGTTTCAGGGCAGTTGTACTCACTGCTTGATGCTAATGACACTTATTCTGTAATTAGAAAGATATATATTTGTGCAGCTAAAAACCAGAAACGAGAGTTTTCAAATTAATAGCTATTACAGATGCAACTCCTAATTTATGTGCATTCTGGGATGTGTTATTATTATTTTTAAGATAGGTTTCAGGCTAGTACATTCATGTGATACGGGTCAATACTTGATCTGCAGGCTTCATATTTTCCCCCTTTCTTTTCTAATTAGCTACTAGAAAATAATATAATAAATGTATAAGATTTTGTTAATATAAGACTCCAAAAACTATTAATTTGTGGGGATCAGATATGGCTAACAAATTCTTTCCTTTCAAATCAAGCTCTTAACCCAACTCTTTTTTAGAGATTGCAGAGTATTAATACAACATCGCCAACATAATTTAAGAAATGAAAACTAGGAAACAGATATTTAAAACTAGGCCCTTGAGTGTGGATTATTAATAAAGAGAGCTAAATCCAAATATTTTCTTTTTTTCACAGAAGCTCACTAGCTCACTTGTATGAAGATTCTGCATATCCAGAGCAGATATTTTTGCCTTATTCTGGAAAAAGCCAACAAACTACTACCTTCTTTGAGGCAGACAGCCAGAATTGGACCATTCGAATAGTGAAAAGATGATAGTGTCTTTACCCTAAACCCCCTCTCTACCTCAACACCTTCCATATAATTAAACATAAAAATAATGTGAAACTTTAAAGTAAGAAGAAGGAAGTATAATGAAGTTATAATTTTCCTTTAATGAATAATTCTTTAATTTGAGGGGAAAATATTTAATATTAAGTTATTTGAAAATTCTCTCCTTGTTGTTTGGTGTCCATGCTTTGCCGTAAGCACAGACCACGTGCCCCTGAGGCCCCTGCTTGGTCTGCCTACGGGAAATTCAGCCCTGCAGATGGTCATTACCAGCCTGCCCAGCATCACTAATGATGAGGATTACATCCACTAGGAGCACTGAGATCCTGATGGCCGGTATACACTTACTAAACTCGGTAATTGAATACAACTTTGCTCTCCTGGGCCCCTTTCAGTTCAGGATCTACCATCCATCTTCTCCTTCTTCTTTTAAACATGTGCATTTGCTCCCTCCAAATCACCACCTTATCTGTTGGCTCCAATTTTCATCTCCTTATAACTTTAGCATCTGGCCATGTTCTTCTACCTCTCTCTAGTGCCTACCATCATTCTTCACCAACTTCAAAATATGATCTAACCACCCCTTAAATCTTTGGCATTTAGGGGCACCTGTGTGGCTCAGTTGGTTAAACATCCAACTCTTGATCTCAGCTCAAGTCTTGATCTCAGGGTCATGAGTTCAAGCCCTGCGTGAGTTCAAGTCCTGAGTTCCAATAAATTTTTGGAATATATACTTCACTGCCTTCCTTCACTTTATAATATACTTCCTTCTCCTCCATTTGTGAGTATGACCACATCCTAGAACTCTTTACAGAGATCTAAACAACTCCCTTGCCTGACACTTTTTTATTCCTCATGACACTCACAAATATTCTATATTCCAACCAGAATCTTCTTCCATCACAATTCCTCCATGTTTATTAAGTCCATTATTTCCCTACTAAATTGCCTCTGCCCCTCCCCTACACCACTGTTGGCTTTTTGTTTCTCTCTCCAGTATTTTAAATTCATTATCCTAAAGCCTACTTTGTTGTTGTTGTTGTTTTTAAAGATTTTATTTATTTATTTGAGAGAAAGAGAGAACGGGAGTGAGCATGAGGTGGGGTGAAGGGGGGGCAGAGGGAGAAGCAGACTCCTGGCTGAGCAGGGAGCCGGAGGACATGAGGCTCCTCAATCCCAGGACCCTGGGATCATGACCTGAGCTGAAGGCAGCCACTTAACCGACTGAGCCACCCAGGTGCTCCAAGCCTACTTTGTTAATTTCCATCTCTTTGATCAACCCCTAGCCACCTTTTCTGTTTCACAGTAGAGATTTCCTGGAGAGAAACACAAAACAAGGGACAAGGTCCAAAATATAATCATGTTCTCCAATGTCAACCTACTCTTCACTAATATCTGGAAGCATTTTGGCTTGGCCTTCATGGAAGCCTGAAGCATTCTAGTGGTGTGCCAGTAAACCCAATGAACTCAGGGAAGGAAAAGGTCCCAATTTGTAGCATTTGCCAATTTATGTGGTGTGAATATTCCCACATGGAAGATTTCAAGCTACCAATGATTTAACAATTAGCTCAAAAAATTCTTGAATAATTCACAACTGACTTTCCTGAGCTGGCTTTCATGATGATTATAAAATCCAGAGTTGGTAGTTGGCCCTTTTTCATAGGTTAAAGCTATCAAATTCTTGCTATATTTTCATCTTCAATTCAACACTCCTATTAATAGATTAGCATTTTCATCCATTCATCCAGGTAGAAAAAAGATAATCGTTCTGTTTGTTTCCAAAGCTAGCCCCTCCCAACCACCTCATTCTCCTGAGTCCTTGCTCTTTTTTTAGTTTCTGATTTCTCCCTCTTCATGATTCCTTTAAACACAGTTAAATATCATAAACATTTAAAAATACTTAAATTTGTTACTTCATCTAGTTCAATTTCTTTCCATGTGTCCTGTCAAGCTCTTGGCTTACACTCACTGCTTCTACTTCATATTCTTTGATGCCCTCATTAAAAGAGAAAGAACATTTGGGTTCCTACCCCTAGTAGCACTTCAATGAACCTTTACTCTTGAAAGTCACCAGTAGCATCTGACAGCCTAGTGTGAGAGACATAAAATATAACAATATAGGTAGAAGAACTATGTGGGTACAGAAGATATTTGAGCTGGGTAGCTGACTTACAGAGAGTAAATGATCACCAGAAAGACAAAGTGAAGGATCAGCATGAAAGAAAGAAAGAAAGAAAGAAAGAAAGAAAGAAAGAAAGAAAGAAAGAAAGAAAGAAAGAGAAAGAAAGAAGAAAGGAAGAAAGAAAGGGAGGGAGAAAGAGAGAAAGAAAGAGAGAAAGAAAGGGAGGGAGAAAGAGAGGGAGAAAGAAAGAAAATATTAAAGTATATGGTTTATTAGGGAAATGGTATATAATCTTACACAGCTGGTACAGTGTTGTACTTATAGGAAATTGAAATAAATGATAAGCACATATGGTCAGACTGTGAATGAATTTATGCTGCAGGAAATAGGGAGTCACCGGTTTTAGAGAGACATGTTCAAATTTATGTATTAGTAAGATAACCCTAGTTCATCATGAAATATGAATACAAGTTAGGAGTCTATTGCAAAAGGTCTAGGCAAGAGATTACAGTGGTGTAGGCAGTGCTGATTAAGGTAAGTAGGAGTAAGAAAATTTGAAGGACTTTTCACAAATGTACTCGGCAGGGCATGGTGACAAACTGGGTGTGGTGGAGAGGGAAGGCAGAAGTTAAGGCAATTCCTAGCTTTCCAACTTGGTGAGTGGGTGAATGATGGTGCTACTAATTTATATGTAAGGAATTCAGGAAGGGGGGCAAGTTTGGGGAAATATCCAACATGTTGAATTTGAAGGCACTAGTAGACAGTGAGGTTTATCTGATCAACAGATATTTAGAAATATACATCAAGAATTTAGTACAGATTAGGACTAGAGATAAAACTTCAAATGAATACATTTCCATTTTGTGCTGGGCACAACACTTGATCTAGTATTCTATTAGATTGAGCAGAAGATTTAACATTCCAAACAAAGCTCCCTGTCTACCCTCTAAACCTCCTTCTTCTCTTATATTTCTAGCGGAGTTTGTGTTATTCCCATTATCCCTAATATTAGTTAATTCAAAGACTTGAAATCACCTTCCACTTTTTCTTTCTCTTTATCACCAAATCAAAGGTCACCAAGTGTTTTTGATTTTATGTGTGAAATGCATCCCCGTCATTCCTTTGATCACCACTGTACTTCAGGTTCTGATAACATTTTATAAAATCCATTACTATAATCTCCTAATGTCATTTCCCCATTGCATCCATTTTATAGACTATCTTCCTAAAATATAGTTCTCTCAGGGCGCCTGGGTGGCTCAGTCATTAAGCGTCTGCCTTCGGCTCAGGTCGTGATCTCAGGGTCCTGGGATCAAGCCCTGCATCGGGCTCCCTGCTCCACGGGGAGCCTGCTTCTCCCTCTCCCCCTCCCCTTGCTTGTGTTCCCTCTCTCGCTGTGTCTCTCTCTGTCAAATAAATAAATAAATAAATAAATAAATAAATAAATAAAATCTTAAAAAAATAAAATATAGCTCTCTTCCACACAGATGACACAGTTCAGATTTCTCCATTCAAGAGCCCTATACACATCATGGTCCTCTTTTCCTCTTTTCTGCTTTGTCACTTTCTATGCCTTCCCAGGCAATCTGTCCCCCTAGCCACTAGCAGTCTAATGATTTTTCCTCAAACATTTCCTGCATTTCCCCTTTTATTTTTGTCCAAGCTTTTCTCCACCTCTAGTGTCCATGTTCTCCCAATGTAATTAATCTCCTCCTGCCCCTCTCCAGACTCCATAGAAAATATCTATTAACATGAACTGAAAGATGAAAACACAGATGTAGAAGATAAGCAAGATCAGAGAGCTAAAAGATCAGAATCATAGAATTAAAAGAATTTTTTATTTGTCAGCTGAGAAAATTAAGGGCCATATATACTGTCTGGTTTAAGCTAGACAGATAATTCAAGAGCTATGACCAATAATTCAAATATTCTGAAATATTCTGACTCCTGACATCCATGACAATGGTGCTGTAGCAAGGGGAAGAGCAGAGTAGCTAGAAATTTTGGTTTCTTTTCTTAAAAATGGTTAGTAACATTCTTCAACTGTGAAGTTTAAAACTACCTTAGAAGCTACTGGTTTACTAGAAACCAGGGAAGGCAATATCAAGACACCCTCTGTGCCAGTGTAATGTTGAAAATATTCTATTATTTTTTAGTGCTTTTTTTTTAATGAGCATATATTTGTACAGAGCAAAGCCTATCTGGAGTAAGATATTTGTATTTCCTTTGGGCTTAATCATTACAATAGACTGTCATTTTTTTCTTTAAAGGAGTTTCTTTTTCCTGTCACGTTAGTGAGTTGATGAATACAATGCTCTATTGGACATCTGTAGCTTTTGCTTATCCCCTCTTCTGCTAACAACTCCTTGAATTTTCTTTGGTGAACCATACCTCTTATTTTTCCATGTGGTTTGGGTGGGGCTCGGGTGTGGGCCTGTGTGACCCTGGCCAGGCTGAAAGAGTATTGTAACCTCAGGTCATAATTCATGAATGAGCATATGACCAAGTTAAACAAATCTAGTTCAGTTAGTTATGCCCAATTCCTATGCTTAAGTGATAAAGAGTTGTGCTTTTTTGTACTGAACTGAGAGCTCTGAGGATACATATCTGGAATTCCACACAGTCTTCCTGTCATGGCAAGGAAAAAAGGTAAGCGATAGAGACTGGGTCCTGATGACATTATCTAGATCCTTGGAATCAAATGCGTCCCAAAGCAAATTTATATCTGGACTTTTCAGATACATAATCCAGGAATATTCCCTCAATATGAGCCTAGTCTGGTTGTTTTTCTGTACCTTGTAATCAAAAGTGTCCCCAGACAAAGATAATTAAGATATTTTCAGTAATAGTGCTTGCTACTTAATGATGAGAATGTGCTATACAGGTAACCCAAGTGCCCAGTTCTTTTGAAAGATATAAACAAGAAAAAAATCATTGTCGGATTTGTAAATAAATTTCCAAAGAAGAATCTGAGGCCAATATTGTAATGTTCAGGTCGAATGAAGTTAAAACTAAAAATCATACTTTTATTCTGAATTAAAATTACTAATTTGTCCTTAAAAATGTTTCTTCTATGTCCCATGTAAAAGGGTGCCAAAATTTTTTGATTAAAATACTTTTACATTACAAAACTGTGGATTGATAAAGATGCAGCAAATAAATAAATAAATATATTGTACATAATGGTAGGCAGATTTTTTATTTTCAAAGAAGTGAAAAGCAGAAAGTCTAGAATAAACCCTGTGTTGGATTGAAACTGAAGCACTGGTGGGTACTCATGGTTTTAATACATAATGATAGATACAGAAAGATATAGATGTGTATGGATATGTGCATGAACATACATCTAAATCCTAGTTATGTTGGTTGAGAGGCTCTAGAAGCTATATCACTCTGATAGGTTCTAAATACCACTCTCCACTAAAAGGAACCATGGCTCCTTAAAGAAATGGCTGTTTCAGGGCTAACACTGGGAAAATTTAGGATGAGCTTCAAGTGCTCAAAGAATAATGGAGACATGTCAAAAGGACAAATGAGGACACCTGGGTGCTCCATTGGTTAAGTGTCTGCTTTCAACTCAGGTCATGATCCCAGGGTTCCTGGGACGGAGTCCCGCATTGGGCTCCCTGCTGAGCGGAGAGTCTCCCTTCCCTCCGCTCACCACCCCCACTTGTGATCTCTCTCCCAAACAAATAAATAAAATCTTAAAAACAAACAAACAAAAACAAAACAAAACAAAAAACAGACAAATGATTCAGCTTGAAAGGGTTCCTATTGGCTAAATCTGGAATGATCTTAGCATCAAAAATCCATTGAATAAAATAAAAGTCCACAAGTACATCTGATATACATGAATGAATGGACAAGAAAGAAAAACTCTTTGTTATAGTAGAGAGTCAACTAATAAATGGAGAAGGAAAGACAGAATTAGAAATCAGCCATTTGGCAATCAACATAGCAAAAAAACCAGTTTGGGCAAGAGTCATCAATAGATACCAAACGTAGCAGATGAATGTATGAGGAAGAAGAGGATATCTACTGTAGTTTCAAAGTATGTCTCCACAAGTTAATAATTAAAAAGGAAAAACAGCAATTTTACAGTACAGAAGCCTGACAAGCACCACCCTTAACTAAAGGATCAAAGTTAACAATACAAGCAATGGGACAAATCACCATCACATGCTTCCTGAAATGGTGCACTGAGAAAATCACAACATCACTTCTGTGGCATTCTTACCAAATATGTATTACCTGAATCTAATCATGAGGAAACATCAGACAAATTATGGCACATTCTACAAAATAACTGATTTGCATTCATCAAAACTGCAAGGTTAAGAAAGACACAGAAAAGATTAAAGACCAAAAGATATGAAGCATAAATGTAACAAGTGAACTGGGATTTTCTTTTGTTACCAGAGACATTGCTGGGACAATTGGTGAAATCTGAGTGGGGTCTGCAGATTAGAAAATAGCATTACATCAATGTTTATTTTCTAATTTTGATCTTTACCGTAGTTATGAAAGATAACGTATTTACTTTTAGGAAACACATACTGACATATTTGGGGTATGATAAAGGGTCATCATGTCAGCAACTTAAATACAGCTCATATGGCCCAGGAAAAAAATATGTATATGCAGAAAGTAGAAATCATAAAGCAAATATAGTATGTAACTTTAACACTTGGGACTCTGGGTGAAGGGTACATGGAGTTCTTTGTACTATTCTTGCAACTCTTCTATAAAGCTGGAGTTATTTTGATATAAACATTTAAAAGAAAAAAAAGTATACAAAACATATTTGGAAACAGAAAACAAAACAAACAACCACTTTAATATGTAGGCCTGAAGAGCCAGAGACTTACTACACTGATAGAAAATAAAAAGTGTCTGTAATTAAAAACATGGACAAGAAGTCTTAGGAACTTGGAAATCAAAACAGTACAGATGAGTTGTCACTGGAATATAATCAATGGTATTTAGGGGGGAAAAAACCCTCTTTACTACTTCTTTGCTTTGTTTCATGTGTAAGCCCTATATTTTTGCCAGAAAGTCATCAGTTTTTTATGATTTTTTTCTTGTTCTCAAAATCAGTCATTTTTTGGAGGAATGCTTTGCCTTTCTGAACTCAGGATGATGACCCCCTTTCTCTTTCTGAAGAGAAAGCTGTAGGCCTTCCCCACTTTTTTTCCTTATTCACATTTCTTTGAGTGAGGGGGAGATGTATCCACGTGGGATAGCTATTAACACATAGGATTGTTTTCAATTCTCTTACTTGACTGCATGTGTGCTGGTCAAATGCCCATCCACAATGACCACTGGACGGCACTTTCATATGTACACCTCCTACCTTAATTCCTAGTGTTTCTCAGGGTCTAAAATAATGCAGAGCTGCTGACTTGTTATAGTACATTCTCCTATCCCCAGTGCTTGGTTCCATGAAATTCTGAAGAGGTAGAGGACATAAAAACTAAAAATCATCAGAATGCAGAACTTGCTCCTTATTTCTGCCTCTCTCCAATACTCTTACTTGGATAATATATCTGCTTGGTACAATGCACCATTCTCAATATCAAATCCTGCTCACCTTCCTAAGTAGCTTTTGGGGGACAGTGTCTCCAGCTGAGTGTGTACAAGGAGGTACTGCTGGAGGCAGGTAGGGGCGGGTGTGAGTTGCACATGGCCGCCTGCAATGGGCGGCGGAGGGAGAGCTGGGAGAGCTGACAGTGAGGAAGAAGAGTCTTTTTGCTTCTAGGTGGGAAGGCTTACATAGTTAAGGCGCACTCTCGATTGTGCTTTTTAATCCAGTTTCAACAGACGTGCAGATCATAGAAAGTCTTTCCAGATTCTGGCAATAGGAAGATTGTCACAGTTTTCAGTGTTATAAAAAATTGTTTTTTTCTGTATCTTTATGGGTATTTTATTTTATTTAAAATTTTTATTTATTTATTCATGAGAGACAGAGAGAGAGAGAGAAAGAGGTAGGGGGAGAAGGCTCCCTGCTGAGCAAGGAGCCTGATGTGGACTCATCCCAGGACCCTGGGATCACGACCTGAGCCGAAGGCAGACGCTTAACCGACTGAGCCACCCAGGTGCCCCTTTATGGGTATTTTAACAGAAAATTGAAAGAACTGTGTCTTGAGCTGCTAGCCAGATGCCATTTTAAAGTGAAATCTTGAATGAATTTGAAAGGCATATAGCAAGAAGCAAATAGAAATGTGAACTCTTCAAAAGCATATAAGCAAACTAAAAGAATTTTAGAAGATAAAGATACATTATAACATAATCTGGCATAACAGTATTTTAGGAAGGTTTATTGAGATTAAATAGTATACTGAAGACCCAAATGAAAGCAAGATCATCACTTCTGTCCACCCCAAGTGCTATTTCAATTAGCTATTGAAACCAAAGACACAGGAAGATAAAATGATTTTTTTCTCTAAAAATATGACAGTTGCTTACTTAATTGAGAAGAAAGTGATTCTGCCTTAGAATAGCAATGAATTTAGGATGATTCTTCCTATACCACACATACTTCACCTTAAATTGTCTTGAAGTTTAAATTAACCTTGAACATTGAATCAGTTTCACATTTATTTAGCTTTAAGGCCACTGCCAGTCAATGAAGTTACCTCTGTGCATATTAGTAAAAGGCATCCCTGCTGGGCAGATACTCATAGACTTTACAATGGAGTACCAGCTGTATTTTAGTACTGTACTGACTCCTTTGAGTGAGAAACCTTTGTGCAGTGCACACGCTACACAGTTATACAGCAGACCTCTCTCACATGCTAAAGAAACTCAAGGTTTCAAAGTCAAGAAGGGAAAACATCACCAGGATCATTTAATTAAAATCATATTAATTTTAAGACCAAAAGCTTTGTTTTCAACTTGTGCCTATATTTATGTGACATTATTAAGAGAGAAAAATATCTGTGAGTCAAACTGCTATCACAAAACATGTAAGGAAAATTCACAGCATATCAGATACATAGATAGATGTGTAAGAACGCCAATTTGGCCAACAGGCACAGAACAAATGTGTACTTGCTTGCTGGGATAGTAAGAGGGCAAACCTAGGTGTAACAGTACAATAAATATAATCATAATAACTCTGATAGAGATTCAAGTTATCTGGCAATTTAGCAATTATTATAGTTATTTTAGAAGATCAAATCATTTTATGATAAATATATATTACAATAAATATTGGCTACTGTAGTATACTTAATCACATTTTCTGTTTTATTTTTGGAAGTCTATTAATCTACATAGAATGCATGTTAACATTAGACTGTGAAGTGAAAAAATTACATAATTTAAAAAAATATACATATTTTAAAAATATATATGCAAAATATATTTTTTGAATGATTACTCTTTTTAAAAAGTTAACATAACCAATTGCAGGACTTTCAAAAGCAAAAGATTTTTGTTGTTAAATGCTACAAAGTGCAAAGAAAATTTAAAAATACATATACTCACTGAATTGGCATTTGTCGGGTTTGGCCAAGGTCTACCACCACCTGGACCCCTACAAGATAATATGATAAATGAAATTTTAACTTATGCTTTGAATGTTTCACAATAAGCAATAAAAAATCATAAAGTATAACATTTACAATTCAGTTACCATGCAGTTCTAGTTTAACACTGAAATTACTCTCTGTATTTTCATAGCTTTTTTAGTTCTTTTTTTTCTAAAGATTTATTTATCTATTTTAGAGAGAGAGAGCGAGAGAGTACATGAGAGTGGGGGAGGGAAAAAAGGAGTGGGAGAGAGAGACTCTCAAGCAGACTCCATGCTCAGCGCAGAGCCAGACGTGGGGCTCAATGTCAGGACCCTGAGATCATGACCTGAGCTGAAACCCATAGTTGTATGCTTAACTGACTGAGCCACCCAGACGCCCCAGCTTTTTTATTTCTTAAATCAAAAAATTTTATCATTCCACAAAATAGTTTTCTTCCCAAATCAAACTACTTTGGGTAGGTCTAGTTTTATTTTAAGTTCAATTATTGTAATAAACACTAAAGTGATAATCACCTGTAAAAGTAAATATATGTATATCTATCTAAATCATTATGAAAACATACTTTTGCAACAAAAAGCACTAATTATGAAATAAATGTAATGTAATATAATCCTATGACATAAATATGTGCTACTTGTATCTCATTCAAAATTAAAATGAAATTATTTAAAAAATACCAATATGTATAAAATGATTGCTCTTATTAAACTACAAATAAATAAATATACAGAAAAGGTGATTAAATTGGACTCTTCAAAAAAAACCACACAGACTATCACAGATTACTTTATACATTACTTTGCATATTATTTTATATCAATCTATCTTTCAGTGCTACTGACAATTTAGTTACTTTTTAAAAAGGGAATCACACTTCTTGTTTTCATAATTACAGTTCAAGACAGTGGCCACGGTAAATCTCGGGAAAAATAGGAAGTAATCTATGCCAATGTATGTCAGTATCTTATTTCATCTTAGGGTGGTGGATAATGTTTTGTATTGTATAGCTTAAAAGGACATAAATCTTTTAAAACAAAATTAATGCCTAATTAAGTGAAAAAGGTCTCTTATTCTCATGCTTTAGTATTAAGTATACCTGAGTAAATACTTCTTGATAAAAAGTAGGCTGATGTCAGCAGGTCCTCTGTAATTAGGGTCACTCAAAATTCCCTTTTCCCTCTATTGCAGTAGAAAGATAGAGGAAATTTTTAAATAAATAAAAAAAAAAAACATGTCCCCTGATTCTTATTTTAGGGACCTGAAACCTAAAATTCAACGTGTTAGATAGAAGCCATCCAACTTAGCTATGTTACTTGGACTATTCAGAACTGTTTTTCATTTTGTTTTGGAATTCCCCAGGGATATAAACAACAGGGAAGTGCATGAAAATTCTGTCCATGGGTTCTATCGGGGTACCCAAATACAATTTTTCCCAATTCTGCTTGAGGAAAAAAGGAGAAAATAAGATGCCAGAGAGGAGCTGGTCAAAATGTTGTGCACAGGGAGAAGGTTAGGGGCATTTGTACTGTCTCTGGAAACTGGTGCCTCTTAAAATGGTGGTGATGATGATTTTACAATCAACTACTGGGACACTTTAGAAAGATAATCTTACATATAGGATTCAATGTCCTAATGAACAGAAAGTGAGGTAAAACATAGGCTATGAACTGATCAAGTAAAACATTTGATTTGTTTGATGTTAATTCACATGATTTGTTTCATGTTAAATAAAATAAAGGTTGGGAAATATTTATCTTAAAACAGCATAAAAATATACTATATCCAAATCATGGCAAAAATTTGTATACAATGATGTTATGTCAATAATTATCTCATAATTTTGATATATTATGCTTAATACAGGACTATGTAAGATTAAATATAATAAAAATATTTTACTTATCATTTAAAAAATTATTTAATGTTAGGTTAACATGCTAAATTAAATGTTAAACATTTTCCTTAAATAAGTAATAGCATTAAATGTTAAATGTTACATTTATTATCAGTAACAATACCTTTTATGCATTTCAATTATTTGATAAATAATAATCTAGTCTCAGCATACTATGTATTTCATGTTAGATTGTACTTAATATGATAGTGATTTAATAGGATTTAATATGATAATTCACATGGATAAACTAAATTTTCCCCAATAATACCATTGTGTTTGAAAACATTTTAAGTTTCACAAATAGTGCTAAATAAAATGGGGGTTCTATTAGTGAGTAGTTCTTTTAGAACAACTACTTAAGTTCAGGGGCACCTGGGTGGCTCAGTTGGTCAGGCATCTGACTCTTGATTTCAGCTAAGGTCATGATCTCAGGGTCATGGGATAGAGCCCCCATCAGGCTCCGTGCTCGGTGGGAAGTCTGCTTGAGATTCTCTCCCTCTTCCCCTTCCCCTGCTCTCTCTCTTTCTCTCTCTCAAATAAATAAACAAATCTTAAAAAAAAAAGAACAACTACTTAAGTTCAGTAATTCCCACTCCTTTTGAGGACCATCGTTATTATCAAGAAAGTAACTTACAAACTATAATAAAAGCATTATTTTGAATGTAAATTTTTATATGGTATAGTTTGAAGTAGAATCAGATTAGTCTCATTTAAAAATAAAGCAAAAAATGGAATTTAAAAGAAGTAGGTATTTTTTGGTGAGGGTATACAGTATGATGAAGTCAAAGCAACTATGATTACTGTAGAGAAAAAAATCCTCTTTTTCTTCTTTTTTTTTTTTAAGATTTTACTTATTTATTTGACAGAGAGAGACACAGCGAGAGAGGGAACACAAGCAGGGGGGTAGTTGGAGAGGGAGAAGCAGGCTTCCTGCGGAGCAGGGAGCCCGATGCAGGGCTCGATCCCAGGACGCTGGGATCATGACCTGAGCCAAAAGCAGACACTTAACGACTAAGCCACCCAGGCGCCCCTCCTCTTTTTCTTCTATAATACAGTTGTTTTATTTCAAAATAATGACTACCCAAATTTTATCATTCTATAGGATAACAAGAAGGTCTAGATCCTTTGAAATCCTTTGTCCTCTTCATTTCTATAAAATACCAACGTATACAAAGTTGAATTAGACATGCTGTAATGCTGAATCCTAAATTCTTTGGAAATTTGTAAAAATATAGTTAATTTATTGTTTTTATTTATATTTTTATTTTTTAAAAAGATTTCATTTATTTATTTGACAGCGAGAGACACAGTGAGAGAGGGAACACAAGCTGAGGGAGTGGGAGAGGGAGAAGCAGGCTCCCTGCGGCGGGGCTCAATCCCAGGACCCTGGGATCATGACCCGAGCCGAAGGCAGACGCTTAATGACTGAGCCACCCTGGTGCCCCCTTATTTTTTTTAAGAGAGAGAGATAGCAGGGGGAGGGGCAGAGAGGGAGAGAGAGAATCAAGTAGACTCCCCACTGAGTATGGAGCCCGACATGGAGCTCAATCTCATGACCCTGAGAGATCATGACCTGAGCTAAAATCAAGAGTGGGATGCCTAACTGACTAAGCCACCCAGGCACCACTAAAAATGTAGTTAATTTAGAAACAGAGTTTCTTTTAAAAAATTATCTGTAATGCATTTGAAAACATTTACATTCTGGCTATAGTATGTAAATTCTACTTTAAATTACTGAAATTGATATTAAGCTTTTATTTGTAAAAATAGTAGTTAGAGAGATATTAAAAGTATACTCTTAATTTTAGATGACACTATGTATAATTTATCCTTTTAGACCATGGAAATATAAAAATTATATCAGAATAATCATTTTCTTTGGAGGCAACCAATATTTTTTAATAACATTATCAAAATTTTGTTCCAAATAGTTTCCCAGTTAGAACACAGTATTTAATTACTTTAGTGAGCACGGTTGGATATTATTTTTCATTGTCATTATACTTTCATGGTAAACAGGAAAACGTGACAAGCTAAAGAAAACTCATCCAGAAATGATTCTCTGGCAGGTCCCATCTGACCCTAGCACACAAATATCTTAGACTGTTAAAAACATAGCTTAAAGTAACACTATTCCAATGCCTTTTCCTTTAATTTTTAATTTACCCAACATGTAAAAAAGTGACATGAAGAAAGCCACAAATGCTAGTTAGAAATACTTATTTGAAAAAAAAAAAAGGAATACTTATTTGCTATTGCACAGTACAGTAAATATGAAGTGAATTTCAATAAAGTTTACTCTATTGAGTACAATGGACATAATATGTTTTATTTTTTTATGTCTCTTTAAATTCACTTTTGCTTTGTTGGGGCTAGTTTCAACACAAGAATCCTTCTCTTTGGTTGGATCTTCCATACTTAGAACTTCCTTGTTAGAAGGAAATATTTACAAGTGTAAATATAGAAATATTTACATTTTCATTGTTCTTTAAGAATATCCTAATTTATAGAAAACTGAAAACTATATATAAGACCCCAAATAAAAGTCAATGGTAACAAATAATGGAAATCTGAATCTGGAAGGCTTCAAGTTTCTTTAAAAACCAGAAATTATATGAACAGTACAATATTATGTAATAAAAAATATTTTAAAGCATCTGGGTATATTTAAATGAGAAACCCAAATCCAAGTATCAATAAAAATAATCATACTAAAAATTTGAGCCATACTTTTAGTCTCCATTGTCTAGGGAATTTAATGTATGCATTAAATGTTAATGTTTATCTGTGTATCTGTTTAAGTGTATGTGAGAAAGGAACTCGACAATTTTAAGCAGCTGAGTCTCTTAGTGGTCACATAAAAGTAACTTTTTTCTCTATACTAATAAAAACAGATTGATCTACAGTTGACCACATGACTAATTATAGTGAAGTGTAATATACAAAATGACATTAGATACGATCTTAATATTTAATGATAATTCTAGATTTAAGATCATAATATTCAAGATGTATACTGCTTACATCTATATACAGTATTCAAAATTATATTCCCTAAAAGCTATTGCATTTTAATGTCAGGAATCTCAAGTAGGTAAATTTTATATATATCTATAAATCCTATTGGTAAGAGTTGCAGCTTTTGATATAAGCATAAAATATCACTCCTTTTTGAAACAACCATTAATAAAGGCTAAGCCTTTGAGGGATTTAAGAAGAGTCAGACTTCATGTCTACCCATTTTTACTTTAAAAGTGAAAAGACGTGATAGGAAAATTTGACCTACTTCTTTCCCCTTGTTCTGTTTGAGTCTGGCTGGTACCCACTTATTAACCTATTTTCTATTTTAGGTAAAATTGCTTTCCATGAAAATGGCTTCAGAAACTCACAAAAATCCCATCTATATCAAAAGAGCTTATCTCATTATATCTTCAATGCCATTAAGTGATGGCAGAGTTATCTAATTTGATATGTAAGTAACTAAAACATGGACTAATGGGAAGATATATTCAAGGAAACTGCCCACAACCCTACACAGACAGTTTTATTATTTCTGATAAGCTTTCTTTAGGCCACATCATGGAATTGATCCTTTAGTGAATTAACGAAAGTCATGAACAAGCACCTGGTATATGTGGAAATTTGAGGGCAAGTTAGATAATGAAAAATAAATAAAAGTCCCTTAACAGACAATATTATTTTGGGAATTTAGAAACAATTATTGGCTTTGGGCTTGAAAGGCCTTTTCAGTAAAAAAAAAAAAAAAAAAAAAACAGCCAGAAAACTGTTAGTCCTTATCCAAGCATATCTTAATTTTCAAACAAAAATTCACCTTATCATATGGAAGTTCTTTAATATAGAAGACACTACCAAAGAGAACTCTTGCTGGGTTACAAGTGGTGCCAACAAAGCAAAAGTAAAGACTCACATATAGGAATTAAAAACTTTTAGGAATTACTATATATCTGTTAAAATGAAGTTAGTATCAATTGTCTGCTTCTATGGAGTTAAGTCATGGTCTTGGTGCCAGCATCTCTTTATAGTTTTATACAGACTATATTGAGCCTATGTGCTTAGTTATAAAAGACTTATTTTTATTTAAACAAATGAAACATGGAAATCTGGCTAAAAGTTGGCATTTGGCATTTGAAAATGGAAAAAATTAAAAGTTGCAGGGAAGGCAGAAAAACAGAATATGTTGTGAAAATGAAGCAAACACTACCGCTCATGTTTAGTTTATTTACACTAGTTTCATTTTATACTACACAGAAATTGAGGAGCTCAAATTGTATTACAAATTAGCGTGACTTCAGAAGACAGAAAACAGAATACTTTACTAAACAGGATAACATAGCATTTTGCTTACATGTTCATTCCAGGCATTCCGGGGCCACCTAAAGCATTCAGGGGGGGTCTCATTGCACCTCCATAGTTCTGTAATGATAACCAAGGGTCAGACTACCACAAAACAAAAAAACAAAACCAAAGAGGAGGGGGGAAAGAAAGGAGAGCAGGTTAATGATTTCCCTACATAACTCCTGATTGGATAAGGCCTGTGCAATTCATTCTCTGAAGGGTCCACTCTTGTACTATTTCTTCTATCTTAACAATTACTTTGGTCTGTGTCTTTTAAAAACTACATGACTATGTAAGATCATTGGAGCATGTTAAATGATTAAGGTAGAGTTGCAATTATAATATTCAACATATCCTTATGAATCTCCTAATATCTGTACAACAGTGAACTTTTTCAAATAAAACATTTTGTAAATCCAAAACTCTGTTTTTAAAGAACAGACTTAGTCAGCATGTTTGAAATTGCCAGACCCAGAACAATTATATAAAGGCTAAAGGAAAAAAACTCAACAGGTGAACCCAGCATAAGAAAGTTGAATGCAAACTTCTGTTCATAAAATAATATATCCCATAGAGAGATGTATGAATATACAAATATACAACAACATATGAAAACTAAAGTACACTTAAAATGTATACATGATTTTATCATGCAATAGGCTTCTGTCAACATCTCTTATATACATTCAAAGGAGAAAAACGCTTTAATGTTTTAACATGCATATCATATTAGCTTACTTTAGTTTCCATTACGGCCAAAAGACTGATTTTAACATTCTCATGTTAATATATTTTGACACTATCAACTGCTTTCGTGCTTGGCTTTCTGACAGCGCTGTTCTTCCAACTTTTCTCACATCCTCTTTTTCCATTTCCTTTGCCGGCTCCTTTTCTTTTGCTAACTCTTTAAATGTTGTTTTTCTCCAAGTTCTAGCCACAGCATTCTTTTAAATAAGTACATATTTATGGGTAATCTTATCTGCTACCATGAGTTCAGCAACTCTTTAGGAATCCCAAAAGTTTTATATTTGGTCATGACGTCTCTACTAAGCTCCTGCATAATTCCTATGTTGAACGTCATTTGGATTGTTTCCTTCTGGACACCACTTCATGCTGAACACATCTAAAAGTAAACTTAGTGTTCTCTTCTCACAGCTGCGTTCTTCATATTGCTTTCCTCAGTCAATTCCATGGTGTCACCTGCCATACAACAGTCCAGGCTAAGAACCTCTGGGAGCTCAATGATGTCTCCTCCTTTTATTTCAATTCCCACATCCAGGCAGTTATCAAAGTCTCTTGATTCTACCTAATAATAGCTTTTGGAATAGTGCTTTCCTTCATATCACACTAATCTTTGTCATTTAGTGAGACTAATGTACCATCTTCATTGGTCTGTCTGACTTAGCCTTTCCTCCTCCCCATCTATTCTTCATAATGCCTCCAGAACTATGCTTCTAAAACTCAGTCCTATATATGTCACCTAAAAGGCATGATGACCCACAATGCCTAACAAATACCTAGTCCTCAGCATGGCTCAGAGATCAGCCCAAGCCTATATTTCCTGTATACATTTCCTACAATCTTTACCTTCTTTCCCTACTCCCAGCTATACCCTCCAGCCTACTGGATTTCTTGTGGTTCAGAAACACGCAATATACTTTTTCACTCATGGTAACTCATGGCATGATCTTCTGTGTAGTAGGTGCTAAGATGACAAGGAAATAGTCAATGAGTCTGTTAACTCCAGAGTGTAAGCCACATTTATAAATAAATTACCTAGTTACATGCTCTTCTCATTGCTTATTTACTTTTACTTTCATGAAATCTTATTTAAACATCCCAATTTTATGTGCTATGGGATAGAATGGTTTCTAGCCACAGTTGAGTCATTAGTTAAAAGGATAGTTAGTTCCCTTAACCTCTGGATCAAGCATGGTAATGGCACCACCAATATTAGCAAGAAGTCTCTGAGAAGAAAATTAACCATTGGAAACAAAATCTGGATGGTAAAGTATAATAGAAATGCTTCAAAAAAACAGTCTCTTTTCATTTTTGGTCTTAGAAAATCTGTTTCATTTTATCAAGGAAAACATTAGTTTTCCTTATAGCTCTGGACATAGAAAGACATTGGTTTGAACTTCTGTTGCCACTGCCCCATTTCCTCTGCCCCTCTTTCTATACGTGTGATCATGGGCCAGTCCTTCTCCCAGTGATCAACTCAACTTTCATTTCCTTATCTGTAAATTGATATCATGTCCTTTACAAGCTTGTTGGAAGATAAAATGAAATCATATAAAACACCTATCATAGTGCTTGGTGCATTAAGAGCATGATACCTAGTGGTCAAAACTTGTAGCCGCTAACTCTTTCTTGTCACCATGAGTAAGGGAACAACTTAAATAAGTCCTCTTCTTATCAGTTTCCCTTGAGCCTTCAACCCTCACAGAATTACATGCTTGTTTATGTAGTGCTTCCTTGACAGAGCATGCATATTTCTTTTCTAGATTTTTTTTTTTACTGCCTAACAGTTTTTCTTTATGTATTTGTGTCTCCTGCTAAACAGTAAGTACCTTGAAGGTAGAATCTGTTTTACTCATCTTGGTATATCCAGTGCTCTAGTATCACAGGAAATGAGTAAGAAATTATCCAATACATAATTTAATAGATTTACAAAATATTTTCATTTTGTGAATAATCTGAAGCAAAAGAAAACAGGAAGATAAGAAAGAATAACAACTGGCTTTCCAAGTGGTATCAACAAAGGCAGAATGGGAAGAGCTAATTTAGAATCACTGAATTTTAAAGCGGATGGCAGTTATACAATTCCATCTGGTTTAATCTCTTTCCCAATGCAATGTTCCTGACAAAATGGCTGTTCAGATTCTGCTTGGAAAGTTTATAAAGAGTTTTTCAATGACTGGGCAGTTTACTTTTACTCTTCCCTTTACTGAGCTGAATTCGACCTATCTGAAATTTGAAAATACAGAATTGTTAATTCTCTCTTTACATGAGAGCTTACCATGTATTTTCATCTCACCATTTCTCTACCCCAGGTATTTGATTTGGAAATCATGATATGTTCCTACTTGTATATAACTCATTTATCCTTCAGATTTCTGGAGGAAGTAAAACTAACTGGATAGTCTTGGTGAATTTTTCTGTTAACCATATGGAACCTGGTAAGCATAAGAACACAGGCAAGCTAAGTATATCTTATTACAAAAGCAAGTAGAAGAATGTCTTCCATATGGTATTAAGTAAGATATTTTTCTTGATTAAATAGGTAATTATATATTACCACTGAAATTAAATTTAAAACAGGTAAAAAGGTGAGGAAAAATATGCCAAGATTGGAGCAAACTTTTATTTCTTCATTCATGCAGTAAGTATTAAGCACATGTTTACTATGTTCTAAGTGTGCATTTGCCTTAATCAACATTATCTAAGAATTGTTAGATTATATATATATATATTTCTCTGTTCTAGGAATTCAACTGTTCCAATAGATAATTACTTTCTTTCTCCATTACACTGGTTTTAAGGTCAAAAACTTATGGAAATAATATCTACGATAAAAAAGAGATGTGTTTTATGTTTGTGTATAAAGCTAGAAATAATATTCTAGAGATTATTTCTATAATTCAACTAGAAAGAAGCAGATACATTCTGTCCTTGGGTAGCATCTGTATGGTTATAATATCTACTATGAGGATTGTTTTTTTATTATCTTTCAAGAAACACAGATAACCTTTATACAAATTTCACAGTTTATAATGCATATGTTTCATATACCAGATGTTATAGGTAAATATCTCATAAGAAGCCCTCATTCCAAATTATTTTACCTCACATTTTACCTATCTGCCATTCATATTAATATGATTCCTTTTTCATTTAAGTACATGGTATGTAGAGTTTCCTTTAACCTTTACACTCTGTATACTGTGATTTAAAGAAGTTATTGTAGGTAGTTCTGGTTTCTGAGGTAAATTCAAACCAAAACACCTTATTGCCCTCAAATTATGAAGAAATAGATAGCAAGGATACTAACCCAAATGGCAGAAATAAACTACTTTTTTTTGAATTTGAAAATACAAGAATTCACACTTACATGATAAACTTGGGTATTAAAACTCATCAATAAGAGATTGCACACCAGAAACATGTTTTCTTACTTTCTATTATAATTTACTTACAACACAAAACACATAAACATACAGCTAAATATTTGTAAAACATAAAGACCAGTATGCTTTCCACTTCTGCATTTTCAAATGAGATCTAAGTGTTCATATAGCTTAAATAACCATTGGTGTATCTTTCAAACACTGCAAAACTGACTCTTAACTCAGACTCTAGTTTTTAATAGTATTGAAAATACAGGTTTGGGATGGCAAAAGCTTAAAGAGCAGCTAGCTTAAAAATCAATAAACTTAATGAAGAATGATAACTAAATTATAGGCACCACGTTTTTATGTATATTTAAAATGTATCTATTATGAAAATCTTTCGGGAAAAAAATCTTTCAAGTTCTGTAGAGCCAAACTGGCTTTCTTCATTAATGACTAAAAGACATATTCAGTCAATGAAATATCCTATAGATCTTATAAATTCTAATTGCTATCAATAACTTCTGATGGTTGGTCACATAAATCATCAACCCTAACATGAGTAGACATAGGGAAGAATAATTTAAATATCTAAATCAGAGTTTTACAAAATCTTAAGAAAACACATAGGAAATAAATGGGCCTAAATAAAAGAAATTATTTTTTTTCTGACTTTGAGGATGTCATGTCTATTAACATATGGAGTTTTATTTTTTTTCATGTAATATGGTATCTCTGAAAATTTTGGTTATAATGTCTTTCATGTTTTAATATAGTTATATATATATAAAATTTTATGTTGGTTAGAAACTCCTAAGTCTAACTCACATTATCTCAGTGTTAGATTCTTAATTCTCTGACTCTTTTGGGCACATAACAAAGGATTAATTTAATTTTTTAAAAGTAGATACATAAAACAAGTTCCTAAAACTGGACTTATATAGCTATTCTTGGAAAGGGATAAAAAAAATAAATTAATTCACTCCTTTAACCAGCATTATGACACATTAACCTCTGACCCAGAAGATAGAAATTTAAAATTCTGGATTTGGGATTAGTTTCCTTAAAATATAACATTATAATATTAATTTACACCTCATTTAGTTTTCCCAAGAGAGACAAAAGGATGTTTTACCAAAAATAAATGATATCCTGGAATAGCGTACTTAAAAAATGTCATGAACAGGTAGGATAGATTCAACCTCAGTGTGTGCTTTTGGAAAATTTTGATAGAGAAGTAGGCTAACATCTGCTATAGACTAATAGGTTTATGCTTGTTCACTAAGATCCATTTAATATTTATTTATAAATAGCCATTGTTTTCATATTCTATGAAGAAATAAGGTTGTATGTAAGAAACTGTCAATGGCATTCTTTAAAAGACTTATAGAAATATATTTTGTTTATTCTGTTTCATATCTTAGATCAACTGTGTTTTATTTAACTTATTTAACTTACATACTTATCTTTTATAATAATTATTATAAATTTTTTAGACTTCCTCAGCACAGTTAACAAAATGGTAATTAATAGTTGTCTTTTTATAATAATTCCTTTAATGTATTTCTACACAATATATTTTTTCAAATGTACTAAAGGTGTATGTGATAGAACCTGTTAAAAAATGGTTTGTGGTTATATCAGTTTGGACATGTCACAGATATTATGTCCTCAAGAGTCTAACAACTATGTTGTATCAAGCCTTTAATGAATATAATAAAAGCCAGCAAATGAGATCGTTTGTTTATGTATAAGATGAAGGCAAAAAAACTCAGCATCTAGCTTTCTGTGTTGATTATTTACCTGTGGTCCTAAGGGCACCATTCCTCTTGGAGGAGTCATTCTCTGCATTGGCCCACCCATATTTGGATGTCCTTAAAAAAAAAAAAAAAAGGTATGATGATATTAGCAATGAGTGCTAAACCAGGAGATAGTAGCCTCCTCTCTGCTTGGTGTTAAATCTTACTTACTAAGGGACTGGGTCATAGCCTTCAGCTCATCTTCGCTTCCATGGCTACTTTTCTGCCTCTTACGACTACTTGCCCACACTCTCCATTCATTGAGATTGATTTTTCTTCCTACTCTGTGCTGAAATACATCTCTCATACCATTTGCTCCTTTTACCTTGGAACAGTGTAATAGAGCCATACATATCTGTGGTACCTAAATATCTCTGTTGGAAGGACCTGATTATTGATTTGTTAAATTAATCAAGCCATTGGTTGCTTAGCATCCTTTTTTCCTCCTGCTCATCTTTCAGATGGACTAGCCTATCTGAAAAAGGCAGAATAAATCCGAAGGGATATAATTCATTATATAAAAGGTTTTAGAAGTTATTAAAATATGGATTTTTAGATCTTTAATACTTTGGTTTCTTATGTTATCATCACCCTCGTATCATGCATAATTAAGAGTTAGCTGAGGAGTGCCTGGTTGGCTCAGTTGCTTAAGTGTCTGCCTTCGGCTCAGGTCGTGATCTCAGGGTCCTGAGATCGAGCCCAGCGTCAGGTTCCCTGCTCAGCGGGGAGTCTGCGTTTCCCTCTCCCTGCCTTCCGTTCATGCTCTCTTTCTCTCAAATAAATAAATAAAATCTTAAAAAAAAAGAGTCAGTTGAAAATATAACTCATCTGGCCATGTTACCTGCAAAAATGCAACTGGTATAATTATGGAAGATTTATACAAATACAATTGTCCTTAAAAAGTAAAGGATTTATTTGAGATTCTGTGTATCAATTTCACTTTTACTTTAAAGTTGTCACCTTGTTGTCGAGTTGGGTCCATTCCACTTGGAAGTAATGGCTGACTTCCTGGGACACCTCCAAGTGCCTAGGTTATTTAGTAAAACAAAACAAAAAAAATATTCTGAATATTTGCAAAATAAGTGCTTTAACAATTCTCTTTTAAATTCCTATAATTACAGAATTCATTTAGCATTTCACCAGATTTCTTATGTTTGACATTAATTTATAAATTTTATAGCTCTATATACCTAGTATAAGTTCTTAGTTCTAAAAAGATTCTACCTTGCTCAATTTTGTGGTAAATAAAATAAGTACTTCTTGGAAACAAGAATCTAGGCAAAATTGTCCTATTTCATCCTGAGAAGTATAATGCCTTTCCCTAAAATTAATTTACTATGGGTACTAAAATATCTAATTTTGCTTCTTGAATGTAATCACTCTATTTTCTACAGATTATTTTACTCATTTGGCATTACAATGGCAGCAGGACTAAAATGCCAAAGGGCCAATAAATTTTTTTTTGCCGTTGCATTTTCCCTAAGAAACCATTTAGAAAAATAATACTCCAATTAAGTTCAAACAGTTTGGCTGAATGGAAAAAAGAGAACTAGAAGTGAAAAAAGGTGGAGTGATTAACAGACAGGGTTTATTTTATGAAGGGTGTGATATCGGATATATCCCCAATCACAAGTGTCTAACAGTTGTCTGAACAGAACTCAGAGATGGACCAAACTAGAAATGATTTAAACCTGATCCTATATACATGTACTCATTCACATGAACACATAATCCTGACAACTGGCAAGAATTTCTATAAGATTCACTAATTTAACTTAAAGCAGAATAAATCTTGTCTACTTAGTGAAAAATTACAAACATTTCAAAAGAAATTTAATAATAAAAAATTTATATGTCCAGATCAGAACTATTTTCTATTCTTTTCTTCGATCTCCTGTTGAGTTCGTAGGTGTTCAGAATGGTTTGATCCCTATCCAGCTGAATTTCTGGGACCAGATGAAATCCAGGTCTCCTATACCTCTGCCATCTTGCTCCGCTCCCCCAGATCAGAACTGTTTTCTTAATCTTTATCACTTGGATACAGTAAAGAGCTACCATTTCTCAAGCCATTTTTGTAATTCTTCAACTTTTTTCTTCTTACAAGCATACCAAACACACACGCTACTATACGATCTGTTCCCTGCTTATCTTTCCAGCATAATTTCTTGCTGCTGTGCCTAATGTTCTAACTTCCAGCCATACCAAACTTCCTTCAGGTTTTTTCAATTCATGAATTTAATCAACAATATCTCAATGCCTACCATTAAAAACAAAACAAAAGTAAACTAAAACTAAACAATCTCTCATCTGAAGGAACTCACAGACCTCTATGTGCCTCTTGTTGACATATTTTAGATCTCAGTTTAGGGATCAGTTCCTGGCAAAATTCTTCCATATAACCCCAGGCTGGGATAAGTTTTCCCATTTGTTTTAAACTATATATATATATTTTTAATTTTAAAACTTACAGAAAAATTATACCAAGCAGTACAAAGAATTCCCATAGACTCTGACACCAATTGCCCAACTGTTAACATTTCACCACATCTGCCCCTGAATCACCCTTTCTCCTTCTCTCTACATGCACTTGTTATCATCAATCTTTTTCAGAACCACCTGAGAGCAACCTGTAGACATTATGCCTCATCACCTCTAAGTACTGCAGAATATAGTTCTCTAAACAAGGATATTCCCATAAATAACCATAACACAATGTTTCCAGACAGGAAATCCACATTGATACAACACTACCATCCAAGCCACAGACCTCAATCAAATTTGCCATTTGTCTCAACAATGTTTCTTTTTACTTTCTGTGACCAGGATCTCATGGAACACATGTTGCATTTAGTGGTTGTATTTCTTCACCCTCCTCCAAGCAGGAATTATTCCTTAGTCTTTCCCTGTCATGTCCTCAACAGTTTTAGAGTCTGGGTCTTCGATTCTATAGGATGATCTTCTGATGCCTTTTCATGACCCACACTTAGGTCCTATTTTCTTAGAAGGGTTCCTGAAGAAATGATGCTGTGCTCTTCTCAGTGAATCACCTCAGAGGCACATGATGCTCACTCATCCCATTACTGGGGATGTTAACATTTCTCATTGGATTGTGTTGGTGTACACCAGGTCTGTACACCATGGAATCATTACTTTTCCCCTTTGTAATTGATTACTTTTAGTATTAGAGCTATTCCAAGATTGTCAGTATCCCATTCGTCATCAATCATTTATCAACCCACCAGCATCCACTGACAACTCCTAAGCACTAGGATAGTTGCCAAATGGAGATATCCCATGTCTATCATTCTACGTGATTTAGTCGGCATTCCACTGTAAGGAACAACTTTTCTTCCACCCTTCCTTCCTTCCTATTTTAATCAACGGGTTGTAATCTATTATTGTCATTTATTTTAATATTCAAATATTCAAGATTTGGCTAGCAGGAGGCTCTTCAAGCTGGTCCTTATGGTCTTCTGACATGTCTTCATCATATTTTGAGCATTTTCTTCCTTGGATGAGATGTTCCAAGTTCATCTCATATTTTTTGTAGCCTAGCTCTGAAAGGGCCCAGAGCCCTGATTCCCTCTAGTGGAGAATAACATTTAGACATCAAAATCTGAGATCTCAGAGCGCTCATTGTAACTTGGGTACACTGCTTTTTGGCCCTCTCAGTAGATGTTGCACTAAAAAAATCTGTGTATGTACACACATATACATCTATGACTAACTCTATATCTGTGTGTGTGAGGAGGGCATATACACATGCCATAAATTCATATTTCCCAGAACAAAGTCAACAGGTCCAATTCCAATGTAAAACCTCAGGATTATTTTTAACCTTCTTCTTTTTTATGTTTGTAAATACTTCTCCTACAGTGAAAAAATCTGGCTTTCATGGTCTTCAATATCTTTCACTTTTTTGCTCAGTGTATTTATTTGCTCAATATAACAGATCTCCCAATCACAACAACCATTTCTTTTTTCTGTCACCTCTGGATGGCTCCTTCCTTCCTGAACATCTTAACATGCCGGGGAGGTAAGGGCTGTTTATGTGCTTTTATAGGATTTTATACCTCATTTTCATAGAACTTAAATACAATCATAGCTTATTTTCCTCTCTGCATCTCCAGTAGACTGGTAAACTCTGAAGGTGTATGGAACCTATCTGTGCCAATTGGCTCAGATAAATATTTATTGAAGGAATAAAATAACTAAAATTTAGACTGGGAATTTTAGTAATCATCAGTGATAAATCCTAAGAATGAAATTGATTTCAAAGAAAAAAAGAGAAAATATATAATTCTTTTTAAAAAGATTTTATTTATTTACTTATTTGAGAGAGAAAGAGAACAAGAGCAGGCGTAGGAGAAGAGGGGGAGGGAGAGGGAGGGGGAAAAAAATCTCAAGCAGACTCCACACCGAGTGCGGAGCCTCATGTGGGGCTCAATCTCACAACTCGGAGATCATGACCTGAGCAGAAACTGAGTCAGATGCTTAATGGACCAAGCCACCCAGGCACCCTGCAAAAATATAAATCTTTAAAAATACAAGGAGAGGTAGGAAAGGAAAGTGAAACTGAATAGGAATGAAATTAGAAAGTGGACCAAACCAACATTTTAGAATGGTTGGGGGTGGGAGGGATGGGGTACCTGGGTGATAGACATTGGGGAGGGTATGTGCTATGGTGAGCGCTGTGAATTGTGCAAGACTGTTGAATCACAGATCTGTACTTCTGAAACAAATAATGCAACATATTTTAAGAAAAAAGAAAAAGAAGAAGATAACAGGAGAGGAAGAAAAGGGGAGTATGTCAGAGGGGGAGACGAACCATGAGAGAAGATGGACTCTGAAAAACAAACTGAGGGTTCTAGAGGGGAGGGGGGTAGGGGGATGGGTTAGCCTGGTGATGGGTATTGAGGAGGGCACGTTTTGCATGGAGCACTGGGTGTTATGAACAAACAATGAATCATGGAACACTGCACCAAAAACTAATGATGTAATATATGGTGATTAACATAACAATAAAAAATTAAAATAAAAAAAATAGAATGGGGAGTTTTAAGAAGCAAGAAGTAGTCAACACCGTCAAAAGTTATTTAAAAAATGAATTAGGCAAACTGAAATTATATGACTAATTAGCATTATCTTCAATTGTGAGTCTGGAATTCTTGCTTTTTTAGCTCTGCAAGTGGTTAAAGTTTTATACTCTGGACTTAGAATCTGAATTTCTAACTCTTATTAAGGGCATTGTTTTATACCTGGAAATCATTTTCTTCAAAATTTTACTTTTTCCTGTTTATCTTGGAATATCAAAACAGTTGACAAAGTCTTTTAGTTTCTATTCATCACTTAAAAATACAGCATAATCTCATAGAAATGATGATTAATATCAAGTTGTCATTCAAAAACAGTGTCCTTTTTCTAAATTGAACTCTTTGGTCATCAGTGTTTGCCTTTTGGTAGGTCAGAACTCTAACTTTTAAAAGATTTTTATCAGTCTTGGGATTACCAGATGATTGTTTTGCCCACTAACAAGCCCATAATCGCTACATTCCTTAAAAGTTTAACATCAGGAAAAATAAATTTATATATCTTGTGGGTTGATATTATCTTCATATTTTTAATATGCTAATCACATTCCATTCAGACTTGTATAACTAGTCACAAATTTTGACATACATTCTTTGTTCTATAAAAGATCTTCACTCTGACAGAGAAAATAACACTAATGGTGAGATCCCTTAATAATAACAAACATAATATCAACAATAATATACACCTGTGGCTCATTATATTTATTATTTCACTCAGTGCTTACAACAATCCCACGAGGTTATTATTATTAATCCTTCCTGATGATGAGAAACAGGTTTAATACAGTAGTTCGCCCTTATCCACAGTTTCACTTTCTGTAGTTTCAGTTACCCATGCTATACCTCAGTCCTGAAACAGGTGATCCCTCTTCTGACGTATTGTCAGGTCAACAGCGGCCTAAGGCTTTGTCACAATGCCTACGTCATTCACGCC